AATGCTGACTTTGTAAGCTTTAGGCAAATTACTGAATATCTGTGAACCATAGCTGCCTCACCTGTTAAAACAGAGTACCGATATTTTGTTTATCATCTTATCAGGATTATAATTCCCAAGTAAAGTAGAGATAAAACTAGTCCAAATTATCAACACGGGTTTTCCACCAGCTAAGCGCTGTACTAGGTCCTGGACAGACACTTTATTTAGTCCTAAAAAAATGTAATGAGCATTGTCCTGATTTTCAACCTCAGGAGACGAGTCCAGAGAGGTCAGCTGAGTTTGTGGCAGAGCTGGGAGTTGCCTCGTGTTCGTAATCTTATGCTATTGTATTTTTCATTGCGGGATGCTTGCCACATCCCACACGTGATGACTATTTTGGGATAGGAATAGCTAACATTTCCACAACCCTGTGAGGTAGGTATTACCAGCATTTTACATTGGAGGAAACAAAGTCACAGAAATAATGCCTAATATAATCATATCAATATGGGAAAGGAGATTTGAATGATTAATTCGCCTACTGCTGTGACGACCTTGGGCAAGTCATAAAAACCCGTGGAGGCTTATTTGTCTTATTATAAGTTGTGGATCATTCATTTAACATTCATTGGACACTACTGAATACAGACCACTGGTCACAAAGATGGCAATCACCTAGTCCATAGGGGTATACGGGAAATTTTTATACCTTCGTCTTAATTTTGCTGTGAACCTAAAACTGCTCTAAAAAGACAGTCTTAAAAAAAACCAAAAAACAAAAAAACCCCACAAAAAAACGAATCCAGTTCCTGCCCTCAGGAATTTCCAATAGTAACTCCACCACAGTAGTGACAATTTGCCAGTTCACCTGACCAGTGCTGACAATAGTGGTGTTTAAACAGACTGTGGAGAAGCACATTGTATAATCCCTTTATAGGAAATATCCAGAATAGGCAACTCTGTAGAGACAGAAAATACATTAATGGTTGCTTATGGCTGGGGGTGGGGGAGATGTGGAAATTGGGAGGTGATGGCTGATGGGTACAGGGTTGCTTTCTGAGGTGATGAAAACCTTCTAAAGTTAATTGTGATGACGATTCACAACAAATCTGAATATTCTAAAAATCATTAAATCGTACCCTTTAAATGGGTCAATTGTATGGTATGTATATTCTATAATTGAGATAAATTTGGACATAAATCACAAAAAGTTTGTTTTCAGTATAAGGAATAGGTAATCTGAGGTTAAAATTTTACATATATATATATGTGTGTATATATATATATATGTGTGTGTATATATATATATACACACACATATATATATACATATATGTGTGTGTGTGTTTCCCTGAAAATAAGACCAGGTCTTATATTAATTTTTGCTCCAACAATGTACATTCATTTATTTATGTACAAAAATTTACATTTATTCAAACAGTCATGTCTGGCTGATGATCTTAACTGGGTCTCATGTTTGGGGTACGGCATATATTACAAGCACGCTGAAAAATCATGCTAGGGCTTATTTTACAGTTAGGTCTTATTTTGGTGAACAAGAGAGAAAGAGAGAGAGAGAGAGAGTGAGAGACAGAGCGAGTGCGCGCATTTGCTGTATACCAGGGCCTATGCTAAGCATGTAGCTAAGGAATCAACTGTGAACAGACAGTAGGCCCAGGTCACACAGAGTTTACTGTGCAGAATTGTACAGCAGAACACATTAACAGGCATGTTAATGGAAAGTTAAGAGTATGATGGTTCCGAGTCTTATAAGAGTACCAAGGAAAGGCATCTTCCTAGACCTGGAGAGTCATAAAAAGCTTCCTGAAAGCTTTATGTATTGAAGGTAATACATACTTAGGAGTCAGGATAAGGGAAGGACAGTTGCCAGAGATGAGCGTTCTGAGTTAGGAGGAACGTCATGAGCAAAAGTCTGAAGTGAAAGAGAGTGCTGACTCCACCTCTAAACTTGAGGTGTTGACTTGTAGGAGAATGAATAGCCAGCCTCCCCTTAAGAGAGCCTTAGAGAAACATCCTCAAGGATGGGCTAAATTTTAGTTTAAAAAAGGGACTACTTAATTAAAAAGATGAAGCTGTAGAGGAGTTTAAGCATGGGTCTTCAGGTGATCCAGAGCACACAGGGAAGAAATGGGAGAGGATCAGCAGAAGTGAGAGGTGGTTTAGGGAAAAGAAAGCAGGACAGGGGATGTGAGCCAGGAAAGATGCTGAGAGGGGCATGTGTCCTGGGATGTGGCCCAGGATATCAGGGATACAAAGCAGGAGGATTGAAGTAGTCCAGATGCCAAAAAGACAGACCCCATAGTATCAGAAAGGTTAAAAGTGTAGCAAGGACCCTTGGACTTTTCAAGGGTCAGGGCAGATCACTCTTCCACGGGAGTTCTAGTCTTCGATGGATGAGGAAACCGGTCTCTCAGAAAGGAGTACCAAGCTCATTTCTGAAAAATGTATACCAACTTACATTCTCATTTAATTGAACAAAGGCAGTCTCCCCAAAGGTTAAAGCAAGTCACCACCTTTTAGGGTGATTTGTCACCTTTCGCTTCCCTCCTCAGGGCTCAGAGTCACCTTGCCATAGTCCTGGCCCAAACAGGCCAGATCCAATTTTTCTTTTAAAGGATCTGGAAATTTGGATTTTTATGTTAAACCTTTTTAAAATTGCGGAGGCCAGATTCACCCTCTGGGTCACATATTTTTGGCCTCTGATTTAACTGGTGTGTAGAAAAAGGAACCTGCTTACCGCATGGGCTTGTGATGGCTATGATGAGAACTACATGGAGAGCCATACATTGCCATACAAACAGTAGGTCATTTGGGGGCTTGTATTTGTCTCCTAGAGCAGGTGATTTGCTTATTATCCAAGCTCTGTTCCTTTACGGTGAGCTGAATAAACATGGTTTTAGAACTAACGATGTGGGACTCTTCTCGACTTTCCTATTGTATGATGCATTGTGAATAAGCCATTGTCAGGAAAATCAAACTTTGTTGTTTTTCATAGATGCATCAAGAGGACTTTGACCATGGGCATGCACCCAATTGTAAAGTAGGCAAGTTTGTCTTTTGACATAAAAAAGTCTCAGCATTCTGGGCCTTTCCTTCTACCTCACCTGACTTCAACCCCACAGCTGCACAGTAGGCTGCTCTATGCCCTCCCTCCTCCATCAAATCCAGTTATTGGGAAAGGCATTTGGTCTAAACAACCTTTCAGAGCAGTTCTTGTATGACCATGTTGACTCTTAGTTGAAGAATTTACTGGAAACCTCACTCAGAGTAAGTTCCTCTGGAATGTTATCAGCCAAGGGATGGAAAAGAGGCATAGAGTCTTTTCGCTGATCTACTGAATCTGAACTTTAAAAGTAGTCAATGACATTAGATTTCTGAGGGCGGTGCTGTGAATTTTAAAAGGCAACTTAATCGCTATTGTTCTTACTTCCCTCCTTTATATCTCTGATTTGAATGTGTTTTATTTTTTTTTCATGCTTTGGGCTCAAACCAGTTTTTGACTCTACCTAGTTAATAGTCATTAAATATTTACTGTATTGAACACCTCAAATAGTCAAGCACTGTATGCAGAGCTGGTAAAAACATTTCCACCTCAAGGGGTCAAATGAGACACAGGCTAAATTTTAGAATATTCTTCTAAAAAAGAAACATTTGACCTCCTATAAAAGAGTTTTCAAATATACTATAAACCAAACATCCCAAATTCTATTAATTTAGTTATATGGATTGATTGTACAATAACATTTTGCATTTATTAACCTTTTAGATGACTAGAATTCAACATTATCTTGGTGTCTCATGCTCTGAACTACTTGTAAGGAAAGAAAAATGTGAAAGAATGCTTATGTATTCATACATTTTTTTAATACAAAAAAACATTGAAAAAGCATGCATAAGAAATCTCCAGGTCTTATCCACAGGACAACGTTTAGTTAAAGACATATAGACGTGTAAATTCGCAAAAAAAGTTGAAGCCGTTTCTTTTATTGTAATCCCTTCTGGCTGTTAGAATTGAGTGTAGTTACCAGTGTCCGGACAGGAAATTATGTGATAGAGGAAGTTATTCAATGTAGAGGATATGAGAGCTCTTGAAGTATTTTTAACATTTGCTCTTTAAATAGAAATTAAAAAAAAATTTTTCAACAAAACTTAATAGACAAATGTTATTAAATATCCATGTTTAACAGCTCTTATTTATAGCTCATTACAAACCTGCTTTTTAAGGTCTTTTTTCCCCCTAGAATTATAATTTATGTATAGAATTTACACAGGGCATGATTTTTTCCTACTGTCATCCACTTTACTAAATTGAACTCTTATGACTTATAAAAAACTCCCATTTATTTTCAACCTTAAGGTGGAAGAGTAAGATATGGTAAATCTGATGGCTCCTCAGTGTGAAGTTAGAGTAGAGAGTTCTACTCTGAAACACTCTAAAGAAAAATTTAAAAGCCATCTTCCTCTGTATGAGGAAAACTAGGCAATGTATATTTTCATTATACTGGAATAGCGTGTTATGCTTATATTTGGAAATAGAATTGCTTTTGAAAGTGTCCATAACTATGAATTTATATTAACATGCTTTTGTTCATTGTAAAATTATTTGTCTACCAAATTTAGAATATGAAGTTATATGGAAAAAAACCCTTAATTTTTGCCAAAACACTTTTACGTTAATTTTTTTATTCAATAATGAAATAGTTAAAAGGATGTCTTATTACGACAAAGTAAAAAAAAAAAAAGAAAAAGAAAAGATAATCTAGTGATAGATCTAGCTTAGCCACCTAGGAAGAAAACAAATGCCATCCCAGACATTAAATTCAATATTTCAAAAGTAATCCAAACATACAGAAAATGGTCTGTCACAGACAGGGTATATCATCATTACCCTGAATAATTTTCTTCATGGCTCAGAAGGCAAGACAAAGTATTATAACTAAATGTAGTTTGGAAAAAGCTTGACCTTTCTAGAATAAACACATTAATTCACACTGTAATTTACTTTGTACTTTACAAACTTTTATTAAATAATGAGCATTACTAACTTTCATTATCTTATATACAATATTTAAACTATGTTTTCCTAGATGCATTTTTTTTTGCACAAAGAATAGAGTAGGTGAAAAGTGAACTCATAAAAAAAAAAATTGAACCTTCAGTACAGAGACCTAAAAAGAACGTGATATACTTTAAAGTACATCTACCCTTTTTTCCTCAGTTATATACATCCCTACCCCACCTTCAAAAGAAACTATTTTAAACAAAAGCACTAAATTGATAACATTGAGGAAAAATACAAACATGATTATATATATACACAAAGCTCTCAAAATCTGCATCTGTGCTGACAGAAGTGATCTGTAAAACTAAGGATTTGTTCTAGAACCTAAAGACGACCACATGGACATTTTATACAGTAAGATATCCACCTTCGTGCAGCAGGGTGTATTCCTACAGGTGACATCAAAGCTGTCAACAAGACATTGGTGTGAAGAATTAATCATTCTGAGAGTAAGACACCACAGTATTATGGACAACACAGAATCTGGGTCATAGAAACTAAAACGCAAAAATTGCAAGACTGCATTCTTGGGACAAGAAGAGTCAGGTAACTTTGTTTTGCAAACACAAATACCTCTAGTAAGTCTAAGAACGTAACCTTCTTATGGTACTTATCTTTTCTGATACTGCATAATCTTGAAAACTCATATCATGCTTAAAGAAAGGCAACAAAAGAAGAACTGTTTCCAGAACCAGGCTATTAAATATGGACTTTGTTTAATAAGCTACCAGAAGAAAGAATAGTATAGAGAAGCAGGAAACTTGGGTTATTTTTTGTTATTTCAAAAGAAAAATGAGTGCCTTAGGTATGTGTTTGTACTATAAGGATGGTCACGTTTTGTTTTATGGCGAGGAAAAAGGCATAGGACTTAAAAAGAGGAAAAGAATTATGGTAAGATGTCACTGATGCAAATCAATATCATTGCTCACCTTTAAATGAGAAGCCCAGATCTCTTTACCCTACACATATTATCACATCTTTTAAAATGAAAACTCAGAGGGTTGGGGAGGGGCCACAAAACGTAAAACCGCTTAAAATGAGAATACAAATGTTACTGTTTGAGAAATATTCTTGTTGCAACAAATCCACCTTCATTTTTCTCTTTCGCTTTCTAATCATAAGGTATTTTTGCTTTTGTTTTTCAGCTTCCTTTCATCAAGAGTTGTATTTGGACAACATGTCACAATAAATGATTTAAAAACCACAAAGACAACATAAAAGATGTTATTAGTCAGAGCTTATTAACCAAAAATTCTGTTCTTTTATATGCTGGAAAACAATGCAATAAGGCCCCATGTTACATTTGGTTTAGCAAATAAATTTCATTGCAGTTGAAGAAATCCTCCAAGCTAGGATCAGGTCATTTGGCTGGGTACAAAACTCATGGAAGTTCATATGAAAAACTGCCCTGGGAAGGGTAACTTTAAAGTGCTTCGTTTCATTTTAGCTTGTGGTTTACTTCGTGTTGATTAGAGACAGGCACAAACAACAGTAAGAAGGGTTCTATCTTCTTCCCCACAACTGAACTATGAGGCACTAATCAAGCTGTTCCCAGATGTAATCCATCTTTTCTAATACTGAAGTCAATTTGTGTCTTCTTGCCCTTGGTTTTCTTGAACGCATTGAGAGAATCATTCATTTAACCCCAGAAATCTTAAAATAAACACAATGAGCTGCTCATTCTCCAGGCATTGTCCAGGAATCCAAGTAAAGATTTTGCCTTATAGAAAATTGGTCTTGTTACATTCTGATTTCCAATAGTTACACAAGTTCTGCATTATAATGAACTGATGTAGGAATACCAGCATAAGAAACCCTAAAATGGACACCATATGCTCTATTCCAATTAGACATCTTTAGCTTAAGTTATTCTAGAGTCTCGCCATAGATAGCACAAAAATGCCAGATATAATAAGCATAATCCTTTAAATAGCTTCTGTTTCCTTTCCTTTTTTAAAACATGTGGAAATGCCTCCTTGCTGCCTTTGAGTCCTAGGATAAAACTACTTGTGGCTTCTGAATAATACGAGAGGATTATTGCATTTCTTAAAGTCTGGGCACTACTGTCAGGATATGGAGAAAACAATAGCATGGCCATCTTGTTAAAAACAAATGCCTAGAAATTTTCAAGGAAGATTGACTTACATGAAACATGAAGACAGCCAGCATCAGAAAACACAGATGCTGACATTGGCTACAGTACAATCCTGGCTGGATCACCAGCCGTTTCAAAAAGTTGTGCTGTAAAAGAAAGTATATTTTACACCTCTGGTTATTACAAAATTATTTTAATCTGGTACATATAAAATACCTCTCAGTATCTGTAACTTATGAGCATAATAAGAAGTTAACTCAGGAAGCTACTATTAAGAACCTTAGGCAAAGCTGCTGGAACTAAGACACTGAAATTTTTCCCTTAGACTCTGGACAATATTTTGCTGATTGGGAGATGGGCTCCTCCAGAGATAGTCATTCAGTTTCTCAGAATCGTTGTATGATGTCAGGTAGGGTGAAACCCCAAGTTTGCCACCTATTGGCTTTTTGGGAGTGCATGGACTATTCAAAGAGTAAGACGTGTTGTTGCTGCAGACATTATCAGAAAAGTCGGCATCCACGATCTTTGAGTCAGACTTCGTTCTGCGACTGTGAGAAAGCTCCAATTCTGACTCATCTTCTTCTGACTTTATTTCTACATAGTCATCTTCATCTCCTTCCGTCTCTTTGAAATTGGAAAAATAGTTCTGCGTAGCTATTTGGGCATTTAAGGGCACATTTCTATTTACTACCAGAACTTTCTGTGAGTCTTGGATAGTGAGATCTGAGCATTTCTCAGTGCCCTGTTGACATGAGTCACCTATACCTAGCAGCAAATCCTGGGGACTCTCACACCTTGGGCTTTTGTGTAAAGACAGCAGTTGTTTCTTTCCCGTTTCATTAGGGTAGTTGATGGACTCCATGGACTTGTTTATCAAGACTGAGGAAGATGACTGGGACCTGTTATAAGGCTGAGATTTAGCACTGATTCCTTTTCGACCCAAAGAATTGTAAAGATGGCCATGACATGAGTTCTCTTTGTTAGGTTGACTGACTACCACGCTGTGTCTCTGCATAGAGCCCAGCAGAGAGTGGGAGGTTTGAAGAGAAGGCACGGAGCAAGCTGTGGACAATTGTCTTGGAGTACTTTTTGGATTGATCTCTAATGTGGGATATTTTGGCTTTGAGTCTTGCTCTGGTCGGGAACAGAAATCTGCTAATTCTCCATTACTATAGGTTGAATGCAAAAACCAATCCTCGCTACCATGTTGGGCCTGGGAAGGTAACGTAGACCTGAGGTTGGCAGATTCTTGAGGGCTGGCCCAGCTGTCCTTCTGAATCTTAAAGGGAGTCTCTCTGAATACAATCTGGTCATACAGTTGGGAATACTCAGCAATCCGGGCACCTGGAAGACAAATATTGAAACAATAAATATACATAGGATTATTCCTACATGAGATTTAAAAAATAAATATATAACATTCTAACCTTTTTAAAAAATTTAAGCAGTAGACAGAACTTTTAAATTTGAGGGTGACTAACCATTGAATACTAAGCGACACAAACTAATGAAATAATCCATAGTTTAATAAAAAATAAAAATGCCACCTAGAGGCTCACTTAATTGGATCTATTTCTGGGTTATTTGATTTCAACAGCAGGTCTGCAATTGTTTGCTATTTGTAATGAAAATTTCTAGTTTTCTTTACAAGCATGAAATAGTGTCAGTGCTAGAAAAAAAAAAAGCATCATAAAAAAAGAAAGTCAGCACTAAACCCTGGTCAATGTTTAAAAATAAGAGTAGTTATTAAAAGAAGCATGACCATACTTCACTACACAATGGCTACCCTTGGCTTCTCACCAGTCTTGATTGCTGTCAGTCAACTACTCCCTGAAGAGTCTGCTCTCTGCAGCTGTTCCCATACTTCCGGTTTCCAGGCAGCCCTCCGCTGCCACTGGTCTGGGAGTCAATGTCTACAGGAGGTCCTCCCTTACAGTACATCAGAACCGCGTACTGACGACCCACATCTTTCCCATCCCCAAGAAGCCGGGCACTGAAGTCTGTGTTTCCCAGACATTAAGAATGCACCATCTGTGCATTTAATCAATAATCTGATGCTCTCTAGTCCTGGTTGCAGAATAGCATTTAACCATTCCTTACTTCCACGAGAGCTATTGCCACTTCAAATTAAGATATGAGGCCACTCTCCTCTTTGCTCTCCGCTTCTGAGTGCAGACTTTTCTAAAGACATTAACAGAACCATGCTATGGATAGAGCATTCTCTTGGGCCAAGAAGGATTTAAGAGAGTGAGCCCAAAGATGTGAATTTCAAGAGTGGTCTCCTCCCCTCCCCTCAATCCAAGTACCCATACAACCACCCTAGAATCAAAGAATTCCATGCACCCTATAAGTCGCTCAGATCACATCCGCACAATTTCTGCGAAGGGGATTTATTCCATATATGATAACCAACACGTGACGTTACATTTTCTTCTTGAAGCTATTTATATTTTTAGTAACCTATTCGTAAATTCCTCGAGTGGAAACTAAATATTTATTTCAGTTTCTGCCATTTCTTGTGAGTCTGTCTTCTACGAGGATAGAAAACAACCTGCTGTTACTCTGTGTGCCTTTTAATTGCAAGTTTCTCAAATTACTTCCCCTCTGGTCCCTGAAATCAGTGTAAATAGTCTTTTTAACTTCTCATTGTAGATCCGATATTCAGATCTTTCAGGTTTTTAAGTTCAAATTCTTGGAAGGACTGAAGTTATCAGTTTAGAATTTCTAGTGATAAATACTTGAGCTACTACTCCTTAAAGTACATAGTAAAGACTCTCAATACCTATTAAGAATTGACAACCTCTTACGAGATTGAAAGTCTACATGGACACCCAGGTGCCTATGTTAGCTGTCCTGAAATCTATAATGTTTCATTAACTATGAAACTCAACCAAAGGCAGCTGGGCCTTTAGACATAGTCATTGGTTGGTTAGCAGTCTCACCTGAAAGTCAGATGGTTCTGCCCAAGCCACTGTCACCTACACTATGGCCCTGAATCTGATCCCACAGTTGAGGCAGGAAGGCTCTGAGCTTTCACAAGTTTCCAAGAAGATGACAACTTTGGGGAAAGCAGTGAGAGCTAATTAAAAAATTCAGTTAAACTATTCTAGTACCGAAATTTAACCATAAAGTCTTGTAAAGTCGTGTTCTTGTCATTAGAACATGTTGGCCCACCATGTATTGGTCAAAATATTCATAATATTTCTTATGCCTTTTTCTTCCTTATCAACATTCTCCTCTTCTTCCTTTGCTTAATAAAATCCTATGTACCTCTCAAAACCTTCCATAAGCTCTATCCCCTTCCATGAATCCTTTTCTAACTAATTTCTTGTCTCTGAAGTCTTATACACTTAGTGTGCAGCCAATACTTAGATATTGGTTGTGCACTCATGCATATATGCACACACACACTTTTGTGTTGCTAGTTGTTTTATATGGGTTAATTATTCCAGCTAGTCTATGAGCGTTTAATCTTGGAGAACAATAACCACCGAGCACCAAGCATAGTAGTTCTATCAGGTCTTTGGAAAAGTCATGATGTATTTTGTCTATGTTTTTCAAAGATCATTTATTTATATAAAGAACAAAGATCAATCAATGATATATTGCCTGTTTTGATAATCTTTTTTTATTTGTTTGATAACCTTTTGCCATCTTTCAGTGAGCTTCATAATTCCTCGTTCATAGAACGACCTGTCTTTATTTGCAAAACATCGAACAAGGTGCTGATTTACAGCCTTATCTGAATTGAACGTTATACCATGCAAGGAGTTTGGAAGAGAGCGAAACAAGTGGAAGTCTGATGGCGCAAGGGCTGGTGAGTATGGTGGGTGTGGCAACACATCCCATCCAAGCTCTAATAATTTTTGACAGGTGATCAAACTTGTGTGTGGTCTCGCGTTGTCGCGATGGAACACAATTCCTTTACAATTAACAAGCTCTGGGCGTTTCTGGATGATGGAGTCATTCAAACTGTCCAAGTGCCAACAGTACATATTCAAATTGATTGTTTGGTTCCTTGATAGGAGCTCGAAAAACACGACGCGTTTAAAATCCCACCACACTGAGAGCATAACCTTTCTCTGATGAATGTCTGCTTTTGATGTCGTTTGAGGAGAATCATCACATTGGGACCAAGAACATTTGCATACCACATTGTTGTAAACAATCCACTTCTCATCACCAGTTATCAATCACTTCAAAAAAGGATAGTTTTTCCTCACATTTAATGAGCATATTGCAGATGTTTATACGCGCTGTCAAATGCGCTGCTTTGAGTTCATGCAGAACCCAAATATCGAGCTTACTTATGTATCCCAGCTTCTTCAGGTGGTCATGAATGCTTGAATGATGGATGGTCAATGTTTCTGCAATCTCTCGTGTCGTGCGACGTGCGTTTGACTTGATCAATACCTTTATTTTATAGTCATCAACCTCGGTGGGCCTCCCTGACCAAGGAGCATCCTTGAGATCAAAATCACCAGCACGGAATTTTGTGAACCATCGTTGGCACTGATGTTCTTGTAGAGCATTGTCACCATAAACTTTATGCAACTTTTCACAAGCTTGACGTGCATTCTTCTCTTTATGGAAGTAAAACAGTAAAATATGGCAAAAATGCACAGTTTAGTCTTCCACCTTAAACTTGTAAAACATCCAAAGCTCAACCAAATCGCTCAATTTTTTTTTAGAATGAAGCTAGACTGTCAGCTGTCAAATGACATAGCAATAACATAGATGCGAATGACTCTAGTACTTCCAAAAATGAACTAGTGCCATCTGTCGCAAATGCATCATGACTTTTCCAAAGACCCAATAGATAGAAACTGATCTCAAGAACTACTTAATTACTCTGTAATTTTTGGACTGCCTCCTTTTATTTTAAGCATAGTGTTACAAATGGATGTGCTTTCCCTAAGACCATACCATTGAGAGTGGAAAGGCAGCCTAGAAATCAAGGGCATAGCAGGTAAAGGGGAAGCAGGAAGAAAACCTATAATGAACATGCTCCTTATAGATAACCCATAATGCGTACAGTTCATCTTTGGATAATAAAAATTATGGCCACTTAGAAGTTTGGAATAAAAAGCATTTCACAAGGAGACAATATACCGTGCCTACCTAATTTTGGGGGGATATGTATATATGTATGTATTTATTTATTTTGGCCTTAGCTTGACCTTCTAAGAGAGTCTATAACTTGCTTGATGCCAGCGTGAACAAGAGACAAGCTTGCAGAGCAATGGCTATCCTGAGATTCCCTTAGCCAGATGTATAGGAAGTAGCCAGCCAAGATGACACCTCTAGCCTCAAAAGCTTAGTAGGAGCCAGCTGGATCAAAGTCCCCCCTTGTCCTTAGTTCCGGCATGCACAGTCTTTACAGAACATGGACATTATCATTATGTGACAACCCAGAGCTGTCTGTGGTTTATCTCTCTTTTGTAAGTTTAAAAAGTGGAGTTATTTTGAGTCCAGATAAAAACATGAAGTGATCCTGGCTGAGAGAATTGTGCAAGACAGAGGATAAAATCAGTGTTTCGGATGTTGCCTGAGATGAGGTCCAAAGCATGAAATGTTATTTTACCCTCCCAGCTTTGCACAAGGAGGAAAATTCCTCAAGACGGTATGGACTTTTCTCCCATGTAAAGCAACAACAACAAAACATCACACACAAAAAATCACAAAAACAGGGAATCCCGAGACCTCCCTGGCCTCAAACACTCTCAGCAGGGAGGCCTGACTGAACCAGACAGCCAGCATGCTACATCAGGCTCTAAAAGGTGGGAGTGACTAGACCTGGTTGGGTGATTTCTAGGCGGAAATCGGACCCGGGGCCTGTAGACCCCGGCTAGAGAGTTCAATAAAGGTGCTTGAGACTTTCGGCAGGTGCATAGGGCGCTGCTCCTCCTTCCGTACAACACCGAGAGCAAGCTCCTGGCAAAGTGGCAAGGCCCATACGAAGAAGTCTGGAGAATCGGTCCATCCGATTACGACGTCCTGTGCCCAGATAAACGAGAGAGAGAAAAGGAGTAATCATGTCAACTGATTGAAAGCCTAGTGGGCACAGGAAGTGGTCTCGATCCACCCAGATGGAAGATTCCTCAGATCCGAGACATGGCAGGCCCTAGGGACAGCTCCACTCTCAGAAGATGACATGGGAGAGCGCTCCTCCTCTTTGTGGGGGAGAACATCGGTAGTAACCCACCATGTCAAGAAAGGACCCAGACACAAAGCTGACAAAAGATCCTATGGGATCCCAAGACGACACCTGGTAGGCAAAACAAAAAGAACAAACCCAAAGCAAAAAGAAGAAAAAAAAATCCCAAAGAGAAATCTATTCACACTTAAAAGGTGGGTAACAAAGAAGATTCTTCAAGGTACTTGAAAGACCTGGAGATTCAGTATTGAAAGAAGTGTTTCTATCAAGCTTAGAGTTTTACATTTTAATGGATGGTCCATATTCAAAACAACCTGGCTCAGGTGATGACCACTTTCTAAAGGACAGTCTGCTGGCCCAATCCACCACCATCAGAAATGTTAGTGCTCTATTTTCCCTCATTCTGAGGAGCCCTAGCTCAGATTCAGTCAGTGGCTGCACTGTCAATACACTACTGTTACCTGTGCCATCTGTGTCCCCCAGATAGTCCTTCTGCAGCTGGAACTCGGTTACTTTTTCTTTGTGTAACAACAAACCAGCTTAGCAATACTCATATTGCAAAAGGATGTGAATTAATTTAAGCATATCATTGCAAGGAGAAAAACATATGCGATTTGTCTCTCACATTCATACAAAATCACTTTTCACCTTTATCGAAAAGGAAGAACAACTCAGAGTCTAAAATCCCTTCGGTAGCAATTCCAGGGCTTAACTTCCCTACCTGTTAAGAAATTTTACTGTATGACTAGCTCTAGGAAAAGAGTACAGCTTTAAGACAATTCCTAAATACTCTCAAACTTAAAAAAAAAAAATTTCCTACAGTCTTGTCATTTAACTTGTGGATTTATTTAGGACTTGTGTATCCCTTTCTTATTCTCTGGTTTCCATGGAGACAAAGAAGCCAATCTCAAAGGAAGGAGGGTAGAGGCATCAACCTGGCTAGATGAGCCATGTCGCCATCCAGCTAAGGATCTGAATGGGCCCTGATATTGAGCCATCTGGTTTTTACTTTTAATTGGTGGACAGTCGTCTCTCATTTGATACTGAAGTGCGCCTTTTTCAGAAAATCCAGGGCAGGGAATTCTTAAATATGATTGAAAGGCCACATTGATTTCAAATGCTAATTCCTGGGCCTTTCCCAGCAATGTCTTTGGATCTGGAGGTAAAAGTTCTTCAGGTGAGACAGCCAGTACCCTTGGGTTTTTTTTCTTTCATGACAATTGTGTGCTTTATTTACTCTATATGTAATACATGCTCTACCGCCAATATCAGTGTTAAGTTTTGCCCTTCAGAGCTCTTTCTAATTTAGCCGTGGGATGCATGCTTCTTTATCACAGAGAAAAAAATCCTGCTGGAACATTTCATTCCTTTAGCCCTAATTACACCAATATCAGACAAGAGATCCTGGTTTAGTTTTGCCCCACAAAGGAGGCTTGACTAAAAGAATTAAATTTCTTGGAAGTACATATACAAATAACCAAATGAGACGGTATTAAATGCAGTATAGCAGCTATTAAAAAAATTAACTAGTAACCAAAATACATGAGAAAACAACTGTGAACAGCTAAAAAAACAAATGCAAAGAGGACTTTTTGTCTGTTAGGATGAGTAGGCGTTTTCGTTGGGATCCTGGAGCAAAGAGCAATCCTATTCTATGTTTCCAAATGTTAAAAGCTTATGCACGCTACTCCTCCTCCTGACACATTGACACATACGGAAAGCTCTAGATGCCACAAGTTAAACTGGTCGCCATTTTTCACAGTTCAGATTATATTAGAGAAAACTCTTACTTAAAACCTCAAATCTGTAGTGACAATGTTACACACACAACAAAACCCTCCGAGACCAAATCACACTGCAACTCGCGTGAGTCGGTGAAGTGGGCAAGGCGAGTCGGCATCGTCTGTGATTATTAGTGAAGGGAAGCAGAGTTTGCCACTCCAACATATGTTTCTTTAGGAAAGTGATTATTTAAAGCCGGTTATTTTTAAGAAAAGAAAGACTCAGGAAAAACCTTTGACCTTCCCCCTAATTGCCCAAAAGGGATTTAGATAGAGGACCTTGTCCAGGAAGGGAGTTATCATCACAGATAACTAGGGTTTAATATGAACTAGTGTGTGATAGATGGGGAGGAACCTAGCAAGGCCCATTTGTTCAATGTCCTATCTGTGTCCCATTGTTAAAGACAGCCCAGCAAACATTTCTCTACTAAACATTTGCTTTTCCATGTCCATGTGAATTGCTTTCCTGCCCTTTGAAGTCCCCAAAACACTATCCCCTTCTCTTTAGCTCAAGATGACATATCAGCCTGAACTGCCCAATGTGTCCTTGGTTCTCATATTCTTATGACACCCCCAACTGTACATCTGTAATAAAGTTCAGACATGTTTCCTGTTAATCTGTTTTACGTTAATCTGACTATGAGCCCAGCCATAAGCACTTAGAAAGGTGGGAGGAAAATTATATTTTTGACAGCCCACCTTAGTAAGTCTGTGGTCTCACTCCGAGAGAATGAACGCCTGAGTGACAATATTCTCACGGTTTTAAGGACATTTAGAACATGAAAGCTGCTCTCATATTGTACTTTCAAGAAAGAAGAGAAACAGTGTGAAGGAACGTACCGATGGCAGGCCCTCCTTGCTTCTTCTCTTCCAAGATGGCTGCCAGATCTTTATGCACAGATTTATGCAGCTGGCTGGCAGGAGGCTGTTCCAACTCCGGGCTTTTCACTTTTAAAAGTTGATTTGCCTTCTTGATCTTCTGACTGTACTGCCTCGCCATCATAAAAACCCTGCTTTTTGTCTTATCTGTGGCCTCCACCCCAGGGTCAGGGGTTTCCAGGTCTGTTTGGGACAGGCTGCTGTTGGCCAAGTCATAGGGATTTTCCATGGGAGGCACTTCACTTGCCAGAGATAGCCGGTTAAGACTCATAAAGGAGTCTTCTTTAGATATCAGGTCTTCTTCGAACGGGCAGCTGGCCCGGCTGGCTCTGCCAGGCCTGTCTTTCAGCGGCGTAAGGAAGGCATGGCTCTCAGGGAGCGAGAGTGTGGACATGGCGTGTCCTGTGTCTTTGCTCAGCTCAGGTGTGCTCTCGGAGTGCAGCCTATCTTGCACGTCATCTTTGCTGACAGGAAATGCTGCCAGGAGCCGGTCTCTAGCTTTGACTTCGTTTTTCTTGATGTAATTTTCCAGGTCATTCCAGATTTCATCTACTTCTTCAGACAGTTTATCAGATATAGACTTATCAGCTATAGACAAGTTACAGCTGAAAGAGTTATACAGCAAACTCAAGTAATCATTATCAGAAGGTCCCGGGTGGTAAGGCGCTTCATCCTCGCTGAACTGGAGGCTATCCTGGGACACGAAGGGCCTCAGGCTGTCACAGCAGGCAAAGTCGGCTTCCAGACCTAAGAAGGTGCTCCTCTTGTTATGCTTTAGGCTGCTGCATTTGAAATCCAGTGAGGGTGGATCTGGGAGCCCTATAGTGTCGTAGATATTTTCCTCAACCACCTCAAGTTCATGTGTGCTTTGGTTCGATAGCTCTCGACCTGTCAGAGCTCCATCTCTCTTTGTGTGCAGAGAGCTCTTCTCGTGGCCAGCTTGCCTCTTTGAGAAGGCCAGCTCTGGGGTGCTCTTGGGCCGAACAGAGTCCCTGGCTAATTTGGGGGGAGTGGAGTCAGTGTCTTCCCGTTTAGCAACCATTAGTTTTAAGTCCTCATAACTTATGTTATCATAGACATGGTCTATATCATCAATAGTCAACTCTATAGATGGCCCAAAGGTAGTCATTCTATCCTGGCCTTCTGTTTTAGGGTCATTCTGCAGCTCCCTGTACTGACAGCCATCACTGTCCCTTGTTCTTATTTCAGGAGGGGATGTGTTGCTCTCACCAGCACTGCTGGCCCGCCGAACAACCCTGTGGCCAGAGCTGGTGGTCTCTGTGGCCTCAATCTGTCCCATGTGCCAACTGCAAGGACGACTTGAAGTGCTATCGTCACACAGTCTGGTCGAGTTCAGATCTGAAGAGGAAAAGGACGGCACGAACATCTGATAATCATCTTCATCATCCTCATTCTCCTGTGGGGACCGTCGGCTGGGAAACAAGGCTTGCCTGATCTGGTGATCCGTCCAGATGTTTCTGATGGTTCCACCCCCACGAATCACGCTGAGGATGGCAGAGCTGCTGGGCTGACTGTTCCTCTGGGCGGGAGATGGCCCTGCGGAAGTCCGCTGTGGAGGCCCTTCCTCTCTGGAAACCTGAGGATGAGAAACATACTGATTGATTGAATGCACAATGGACACATAGCTTACGACATTGTCCTGTATTTACTCATTGCCTCTTACACTACACTGTGATACTCTTAAAGAAAATGATCAGTAAACATTGCTGATTTTAACTGAGTTGAAAAACACCTCAGGTTTTTGCAAAAGGGGCAGAAAGGACAGGAGCTGTTATTTGCATAAAAATAGGCTGGGCTGTTTGCAGACATTCTCCAAACTTATATGTTCACAATCGCTCTATGAATTATTAATAGATAGGATTGTACCAGCTCCACAGTAAGTATGGCTAAGCTCATAAGGATTCAGTAACTTGCTTTCAGTAGTCAGTATAAGGGCTAGGACGCAAATCCAGGTCTGAGTCCAAATCCCTTATCCCAATACTGAGAATCAACTACAGAAAACTCTCAGATACTTCAAACAATTCCGACGTACGCTTGGCAAATACCATTATATGAATGAACATACACAGTTGTCAAGGGCCATCTGGTTTCTACCTGGTTTCTATTTGGGGCTTGACTCGTAGGAGATTTATTGTGTTTTTCGGGGTGCTGGAAGCCCCTGCCAGTGATCCGACTTCATACCCCAAGGCTTTCCCTTAAATCTGCAGGCCTGCGATGAATCTGACCAGCACTGCCATGGCTTATGGGTTCTAGGAAAAGAGCCTTTGTTGTAGGGATGTAATTTAATCCTCTACTGAGCTAATGAAAATTTTGCTTTCTTTCAAAATACATTTAATTAAGTAATATTTAGATGCCTGTTAGTAAGTAAAATATGAGTGACATTAATGATGTCTAATCAAATAAAACAATGGGGTCTTTTATAACTTGGAACCTTTCTTGATGGAGCTCAATTGTGCAGAAAGGGAGTGGATTGCCCTCTGAGGCCCTCTGTAGTTATAAGGATTAGCTTCAAAGATTTAATTTGAAAGGGTTAAGACCAGTTCAAGCTAATTAGTATCAGGGACATTATTTTCTGATCAAAACACTGCAGTAACCTATTGGAAATGTCAAATTTGCGTGATTTTTTTCATCACTTGTCAATGAAACTGGGATACATATTGCCTTGGAATATCTACCTGTCGGTACATCTGCCTGCCCACCTGTCTGTCTGTCTGTCTATCAGGCAGGGAAGGGAAGAAAGGGAGGGCAGGAATAAAATTCCATCCTGAATGTTATTTTTCTATTAAAAATCTAAAACTACAAAAGATACAATTAGTTGTTTAATCTTTTGTTCATTTTTCCCACCTAGTAAAACCATGGACCATTTGAGGCTTAGGAATAAATGAACATGCACATATATGGATATACGTGCACACAAATACATATATGGTATTATATTTATGGCTGTATGTTTTTTTCCCCCCTTTACCCTTTAGTATCTCTCCCCTTTCACCTTACTCAGACTGCACTGGAATAATGTTTATAAAATATAAGCACCCAGTAAATACATTTTACAAAATAAACAAGTTAGTATTAACTAGAACATACAACAAAACGATTTTGTGAACAGCCAGAAGTTAATACCTTCTTAAAATTTTTCATCCCAGGAAAATCCCCAGATGTTTTAGAAAATTAGGAAACCTGAATTTTTAATATCACAGTATATTTCTTTTCTTTTCTTTTCTTTTTTTTTTTTTTAGCTGAGCCATCCTGCCGCCTGTTGGCAGCTCAGTGCCAGCTCAGCTCGGGCTGGGCATAGAACTGCTGTTGCTTAGAGCTCACACTCTTGAGCAAGCTCTTAACCAACTGAGCCACTCAGCCGGCCCTCACAGTATATTTTTAACGTAATTGCACTTGAAATGAAGATGGCAGTACTTTGGAAGCTGAAATTTTATATCAATAAATCATCAGGAGAACTTAAGAAGTTCTTAGATTAAGAAATATTCAGTGTATGGATTGGGCACAACATGTATCCCTTTAGATACCTCAGTTTCACAACAGCCAAGATGAATATTCCGCCCCCCACCCCCCGTTTCCCCCTATTCTCGGCATTATGGCTATTTAATAATAACATGATAATAGCTGTCATTTATGGAGCACTTGCTTTGTGCCAAATACTGTAATAAGCACTTTTTAAAATATTATCACATTCAATTTGTTTATAAAAATGAAATAGATTTTAAAAATCAAAATCTCATGTCACATTTCAGGACAATGACCCAATTAATGTTAATAACTTTCAAAAGCTTCCAAACAAAAATATGTACTACCTGGAAAAAAATCCACATGCCCTAATTTTAGGACAATCACTTAGAGATAAGACTATGATGATTTTTAGACATATTATTGGGTTTAACTGAAAGATATAGTATTTATTAACAGGGCCACTCTGGCCCTGTGCTAAGGAGTGGTGCAAGTGGAATCGTGGGGGGAAGAATTTCATAGTTACATCCTTATAGATACAGAACATTAAACAAGTAGCCGCAATCAGTTCTGTAAGAATTGCTCATCGAGACAATTGATCGGTCACCATATTGGATGTGGTTTACTCAGGTCGGGATGCAGTATCTATTCATCCATCATAGGTAATAAATTTGGATGTACATCTTCCAATGGAGAATACCATTTTTATTCCTCCTCTCCTAACCTTTTATCAGAGGAAAAAAAATCAAAACTTGGTATAGTGAAGTTTCATTGTTATGACATATGAGTATGCCTCTTATACCATATTCTTAGAAGGGGGTCTTTGTGGCTGAAGGCTAATGCTTTGAGAAGGGACCAATACTCAGGATGCAAAAGCCCTGGCCTTACATGCACAGAGCCACATGCAGCGTGGATGGACCATGCTAGCACTGTGTGGGGTTTACATCCTTACAGCTTCTGAAGCGACAGCAGAGGGTTAGAGAAATTGTTGCCTTAGTTCTGAGAGATGAAGCCGGGGAGGGAGAGAGGCAGTTATAAGGACGAGCTCTCACTCATAGCTGTCATTTACAAATGTAAAATAATTGTTTATACTTGGAACACAGGCTTGGGATGAGATATATAAGAGTATCTATAAAAAGTGCCTAAAGTAAACATTTCAAAAGAAGAACCATAATAGTGCTTACCTTTCGGATGTCTTGTGCTGTTTCTGAAAAATAAAAGTTTTGTTTTTAATTAAGTTTGAGGATTAAAAATATATCTTACATGTAGGTTAGCACTTATATTTTAAAGGGCTTTAAAACTTATTGTTCATAATTGAAGCCCAATCTGGGCCCTTTAGACCTAATTTTCAGTTATTGTAGTTATATGTCCTGTACTATATGTAAAACAACCTTACACATTTGAGGGTTAAGTATCTTCTTTAATCCCTGAGAGCAATGTACTAATTCATGTTAATAAATTTCAAAAGCTTACCCCCCAAATATGTATTACCTGCAAAACAATCCACATGCCCTAAGCTATGAAAATCACTTAAACCTAAGACTATGCTTCTGTTAATTTTTGAACATTTTATTGGTTTTAACCGAAAGATATAGCATTTCTCAACAGGGCCACCTTGGCGCTGTTAGGGAACGGTGCACCTAGAATTGGGGGAGGGATTTACAGAGCCACACTGTTACAGAGACCCTTACAGATATATGTGTCTCATCTTCAAAAAATGTTTCATTACAGAAGCACATAAAGTAAAAAGTGATTGAACCCTCTCTACAAATCCCACCTTGGAGAGGTAACCACGCTTAACAGTGGATGTTCATCTTTCAGGGCCCCTACCCACTGCCCCATCCCACCATCATGCACAATTTTGTTTTGTTTGTAAATAAAGGTGCAATATGCAACATTGAATTTGCTGCTAAATATATGTGGACACTCTTGTCAGTAGATAGAGACATACTTCCTTCTTTTTGACAGCGGCAGAATGTTCCCTGTAGTTTCTCAGGATATTCTACAACTTATTTAACCATTTCCCACTAGATGAGCATTTAATGTGGTGCCTGTCCTATTACAAACACTGCAAAGAACACGAACACACACACACACACACATCTATCCACACTTGGGTGAGTACTTCCACACAGGAAGCATACCCTGTGAAATTTATAAAAGTGAGAAAAATGAAATTGTTGGGTCAAGGGCAGATGCGCATTTGAAATGTAAATGGACATTCCCAAATTCTGCTCCAAAGTGGTTGCAGAAATTACACAGCAATAGTTTCAGAGTGCCCGTTTTTTCCATATCTTTTGGCCAAGCTCACAGCTTCCCTCCCATCTCCTTTAAATGTATGATTTTTCTGATTACTAATATGGGTGATCATTTATAAATTTTATTGGTAGTTTGTGTTTCTTTTGTGAAACTGTCCAATTATGTTCTCTGCCTTTAAAAAAAAAGAGTCCTTTGTCTCTTCTTTTTGATGTTTAGGGGTTCTTTATATAATAAAGATATTAATCTTTTTATGCCTATTATCTATATGGCAAATATTTTTGTGTCATTTGGCTTTACATTATAACAGGGCACTATTACTTATAGAAGTTAATCAAATCTGTCAAACTGTAACTCATCTGGTGTGCATGTGTGTGTGTGTGTGTGTGTGTGTGTGTGTGTGTGTGTGGTTTGACTTACTGGATATTGACAAGAATGAAAAACAAAACAAAACATATTTTAGGACTTACCGCTTGTCTTCAAAACTTTATGTGATCTTGATGAAGGTTCTGGGAGAAAAAATAAGACCAGCATCATTTGCACCAAAGCAAGAATTTTTTCTTTATAAATGAATTATTAGTTTATGGGTAAATTAATTGAGCACTAGAAATTTTCTATCAAATTTACCTAAATCCCCCTTGCTTAGAGATACTTAGCAGCAAGACATTCACCTCATCAAAGCTGTAAGACGAATATTAGCTGTGCAGTTGGAAGTCACATAACACAAAACCAACTCTACCAACCAGTAGAGCAATTTCCTTAGCTTTGATTACCACCTAGAAGTTGATAACGTTCAATTTTATATTCTTATGCCAGACTCTTGCCCCAAGCCTCAGGCCACAAATGCCAACTGCCAATCTGACATTTCCCAACATGCCCGAAGACCTAGCAAACCCAATTATGACTTAATCTCAGCTGCCCATTCTCCCCCCATATCTGTTCCTTCATCTGTATTTCTTATCTTGGTTTTCACTGGCATTACCCTCTGACATTAGTGACCAGTACATCATTCTAAATTTCTCCTGTTTTCACCCATCACAGCCTGTGGGATCCCAATAATGCCCCACCCAGGTCACCACTGTGTTCACCCAGCCTTCGCCATCTCTCACCCAAACTATGGGGACAGCCTCTTGTCTGGTCTCCCTGCCTACCTCATTTTCCACATTGAGCCAGAATTCCCTTTTTAAAAGGCCAATATTTCATTGCTTACAATCCTTCCATAGCTTGCAGGATCAAGTTCAAACCCTCTGCGTGGCCTACTTGTCTTCCATGATCAAGCCTCTCTCTGTATCTCCAGCCACATCTGTCTCCATTTCACCTCGCCCACCTCCTCCTGCACCACCAGCCCCAGCTCCACCCCATGTTCCAGCCAGGCTGGACAACTGGTAATAGATGCCCTAGCTAAGGGATGCTGGCTCAAGTCTCAGGGCCTCTACATGTGCTATTTCTGCCCCATCTACCTCCTGAACCCCCAGATTCCATCCGGGTACCTCTGCTCGGTGAAGCCTCCTCTCTCCTCTGTCTCTCCTGCTTCCTTCTTTTCAGCCTCTACCACAGCTCCGTTACACAAACTGTCACCTTTTTTGACTCTCCCACCAGAGTATGAACTTGCAAGTAGGAATCATGTGTGTTATTTATGCTCGCATTCTAGGGCCTTAGCCCAGTATAGGGCATTAGGCAGGTACTCAATAAATACTGATTCAAAAAATATATATACATACATATCTGAGGGCTAAGGGAATACTACCAGAGTCTGGTTCAGATGCTGCATGCTAAAATTTTAGGTTTGAATAATCTTTTGCATGTGTCATTTAAAGGATACAATTTTTCACTAGCGATAGTCAATAGTGTTTAAGTACCTGCGTGCCAATGGTAAGATGCTATGCAAAGTTACTTGATGGATATCTGTTATATTTACTGGAAAATGGTAAGTTAAGTAGAAGAGTTTTAGAACAGAAGCTTGAGAGCACCATCTTCACGCAACCTCAAATGTGTTCAAACTGGTTGCAAGCTCCCAAACCAGAAAGCAGATGCCTTTTTGTCAGACCGAAAGGGACTTTCACTACCAGTCCCCCATACTTAGTAAACTTTGATTACAGCATCCTATTTACCAGATTTTCTTCTCAGCCGATAAGGAGTGGCACCGTCTTTAGAACCACAAAGTGCCTTCGTCTCTCCCTCAGGACTGTAGCAGAAGCCCGGATAATCTGGAAAGAAAACCACACGCATCTATAAGAACAAGGCGTTCCGTGACTTCTCAGGACACGGTACGACTTGTATTCTCTTTCCGCAAACATGATATCCCTCCTTCCATAATTGGTGTTGACTTTGCATCGCAGGACTCTGTTTACATGGGGACTTCCAGGAGTGTGTTAGCAGGTTAAGCTGTCTCTCTCTCTCAAGTGATAACTTCCTACCGCTGCCCAGAAACATTTGCAATTCTATGATCCACAGAGGTCAGAAAATGCCATTAAAATAAAACTCCCTGCAGCTGAACTTATTATTACCAAGGCCTCTGACAGATGGCGGTGACAGGCCGCAACAGAGGTCCTGTCAAAATAAAGCCATCTGGAGAACTTGGTGAGGCATTTGTGCCCAGCGCTGTGGAGCCCTTCCCGTCCCAGTGGAAAAGCTGTCTTTCAGTTAGTGACTCTTAGTATTTGTCTAGACATTGCTTCTTTCAACATCTGATGAATGTTTTAGGTCCTCCTGTCAGAAAAGGGGTTTTCATTTAATTTCATAGTTTATGTCTTTGTACCCCATCTAAGGGGTACACAGATTTTGAATTAAGAAAACCTGGTCTAATCCTAAGTATCACAACATAGCCCATGATCATCTGCACACTGAAGGCTGAGGGTAACAATTTTAGGGTGGAGCTATAAACTGGTGTTCTTCAAATTGGAGTTAAGGCTCTTCCAGGGTATCTGAAGTTCGAGAAAGTTCTGAGGGTGGTAAAGACCACATACACTTCTCCAATGTCAGTGGCAAAGTTTATTAATATATAAATGAGGTCATTTGGTCCAGTGGACTGGCCTACTCTGTTCACATTCAGCTATGTGCAAAATCAGGGTAGGGCAAATAAGGTTATTTTTCTAGGCTGGGTCGCTCTGGCCTAGTCCAGGTCCTGGAAGACAGACATGTGGCACCCATTAGTGGCTTGAATTATTCTGTGCACCCTAAAATCTTAATGGTGTCCATGAGCTAGCCTAGAGCCTGGGAATAAGCACATCATTTTATTGAATGGAGCTTGTCACAATACTAGCTGACCTCTCCATAGCCCCATTTTCCTTCGTCTTTCTTCCTAATTCTCATATGCCAACCCATGACCTTGCCTTTTCTTCAGTGTGCTTTTATTTTATTTTATTTATTTTTTAGCTGAGCCATCCTGCCACCTATTGGCAGCTCAGCGGCAGCTCAGTTCGGGCTGGGACTCGAACCACTGTTGCTCAGAGCTCACACTCTTGAGCGAGCTCTTAACCAACTGAGCCACTTGGCCAGTCCTTCAGTGTGCATTTATTAAAAAAAGCAAAGCAAAGCAAAGAAAAAAATCCTAGGGATTTCCACTGGAATGTGGGGATATAGAGACTGGAGCAGTGAGCCCCAGTCTAGCATTCTGGTGGAGATCACCTTGCAATCATCCCTCAGGATCTGTTGGACATGATATGGGGACTCTCAGCCACCACAGTGGTGATGCTCATTTTTCTACTTTAGAAATGTTTCTTTTTGCTTCTGGAGTGTGAACCATCAATGGGTTGGACGGTAAGTGAATCAATGTTTGCGTGTGGGGAAAGATTCCTCAAAAGTAAGTTATTTAGAAAGTTTTAAGTAAAAGCTCATCAGACCTGGTTGCCAGTCTTTAAAGTCATTGTTTCTCTTTGTCATTCTATTAATACTTAATCTGGGAGGTAACAAGGACGTGATATGTGCTGTTGAACATGATCTTATTTTATGGGAAAGACCTCACTTGTATTTATTCTCTGCCTGCTTGCATAAGCCTAGAAATACAATTGCACATGTGGAGCGGTGGTAATTTTAAAATTTGTGCTGCCTTGGGAAAACCAACAACTGTCTAGTTAGCGTGTTTCTTGTTTATAAGGTGAGGTGGGAAATGTACTGTGGGACCTGAATTTTTGGTGGTGGTGAAGGTGGGGAGTAAGAGTTGACCCTGGAAGCATATCTTACATTGTTAGTTGATATAGAAACCTAAACATGCAGCCAGTCATGGGGTGACTCACAGGTAAACCAGAAGTCAGTATAGAAACAAGTCAATGTGTTGGGAAGAGATGAAACTGTCTGCTATTTGTTAGAACAGTGAATAGTGAGCTGCTACTTTCTTACAATTGACGTTTTTATAAACTTTAAGATAGAAAATGTGATAGATAACAAGTAGACAATGAAATTTCAAATTTCGTTAAGAAAACAAAACTTACGAATGGCATCCATTTCAAGTATTGCTTGCTTGGCCTGAAAGAAAGAAAATGTAGCTATAATTGCAATTACCTTTTTTGTTTGTTTGTTTCTCCTTTAAACTACCAATTCTGACATGGGCCTTATCCCACCTAAATTGGTGGTTTTTGAAAAGCTTAAAAAAAAAATCCCTCATTTCTTTTAGGCATTACCATAGTGCAAGGGCTTCAAACAGATGAACGCCCTCATGTGGGGAGTTGGTGCCGCACAATTGATGTACCAGAGCTAAGCTTACAGCCCCCACCCACCTGGAAAGAAAGGGAGGAAGGAGAAAGAGAGGGAGAGAGAAAAAGAAAGAGAGAAAGGGGTGGAGGAAGGGGACAGAGGGGAGAGAATGGAAACATTTCACTAAAGGTTCCAAAACCTGGCTGACCATTCGTATCTGTTGGTCAGCTTATTACAAACTACAGATTTCTGCTACCCAACCCTGATCTACTGAACCCAAAGCTCAAAGGATAGGGCTTAGGAGGTACATGACCAGCCCTCCCCATATCACTGCAGCCTTATAACTATTTCAAAGGTTTGCTGGAAGTTTCCCGCTTTCCTTTTTCCAAATGCTATGAGGTTATCATCAGCTAACTCTCCTGGCTCCCTACAGCACCCCCTGCACCCACCACCTGAGTGCCCTAGAATCTCCAAGAGGGGGAGAAAGAGCTGTGGTGTGGGGGAAGGGCTCTGAAGGACACGGTTAAGTCCCAGCTCTGGCACTTAAGTAGGTGGGTGCTCTCACATTTCTGAATGTGTTTCCCCCACCTTAAGATGGTAAGATAGGACCTACTTTGCAGAGTAGCTACTAGGACGAAATGACAGGCACTCAACCTGAGTTGGTGACCATCTACCCCGCAAGGGCCTGGGCCTGATGACCTTGGCTCTTGCTTCTTCCATACGTACTTCTCCCCACCTCAGCTAACCTTCTCAAGTTTAATACTTTGAGTCTTTTAAAAATCGTTACTGTTGCCATATGTTATGAAGGTTTAGGGGAATATGAAAACGTAAGTGAATTCCCCTAACATGACTCATTTTGCCTGAGGATTCAAAAAAAGAAAAACATTAGTTTGGGTAGCCTTTCTTGCACCTTTAAAATAATTTTCATCTTTCAAGGGTAGTATAACTGAACCTATAGTACAAACATTATGCTAAAAGCAACTTTAAAAATTAATGTAGTTGTATGTTGCCCCAATCTGTGATATCACAGTAAAAATATTTAGGCTAAGTGGCAATTATATTTAATTTTTAAAAAGGGGTAAAAAGAAAAACGCTTGACGCAGTCACCATAATTTTGAGAAAACAAATACTTGGGTTCTTATAACACTGATTTTTTTTAAAAAATCATACATTCAGACTTTGAGATTACTAGTTGAAATTAATTTCAAGCAAGCATTAGTTCAATTTCTGTGAAGTGCATTTATAGAACCATGTGAATATATAAAATGCAAAAGTCTCTATTTTTACCTTTATTCTCAATTAATCTGGATGAGAATTAGTTTATATACCATGTATATGAATAGGCAATATGGCTATTTCCAAGAAGTTTTCTGATATCTATTAAGTTTGACTTCAAGAACAGTGGTTTTTTTTTCCGTCTTTAACATTTAATTTCAAAAAGTACAATTCCCACATTTTCCACTAGGAGTCAGCCAGGGACCATCACTAAATTAAAGAACTGGAAGGAGGTTGGGGGAGGAACTATACTAATGAATTTCCAATAGCTATGTTAACAATATTTGAGCAGTGATACATTCTTTGATGTTGAAAAAATTCCCTATTTCTTTTATTTAATAGGAATAAATATATTTTGAAAGCTTTAAGAAAAAAATTTAAGAAATCATTGAGGAAAGAAGCAAAAAGTTCAACTCAATCATCCTGCTTAAATAAAATAGAAAATTACTATAACATTATAGTGGATAAAGTATATGAAACAAGTGCATTTTCATCGCCATGGGGAACAATGTGGGTAAGACTTGCTCTTTGGAGCCAGACAGACCTGGGTTTGAATCTGTGCTCAGCCACGTTCTAGCCGTATAAACTTGGGCAATTTACTTAAATTGCTGTGTTTATTTCTCTAGAATGGGGAGAATAAGGCCCTTCTCAGGAGATACTTTGCGTAGGGTAAGATAAGAATATAAAGGACTTAGCACATTGTATGCGTGCTCAAGACAGTAAGGATGAAAAATACAATGTTTAGGTTCTACAAGGATCAGGAAGTTAGGTAAAAATTCTATTGTGATATATTAACCATTTTAACACATGAAGGGAAAACTGCCTGGAATCCACACACCTAGTGTGGGAGAAAGAGGACAGGTTTGTGAACTAGCCTTGTTTTGTAATGGCCTATAATTGCCTTTTGGAATCCTTTTGGCAGTTTTGATTTTCTAGTAGACAGATAAACAATAGGTGGAGCCTACCAAAGACACGCTGCCATTGCTCAGAAGGGCATTCCAAAGCACAGGACCAGCATCCAAGTGATTAACGATGAAGAGAACGCAATCACCTCTCTGCGTGAGCTACCTGACATCTTGTAACACATTGATGAAATAAGCCTCCATACTTCATTCAGTAGAAGCACACACCTATGCACATTCATTTCCTGGGTGCAAAATCATTGCTGACGGCCTATGGGAACATGCTGCCAATGCTTTTCAAAATATACAAAGAGCAAACTAGACTCTCCTTTCTGAGAAGTCTCAGTTCTCCTTATTTTCCACCCAGTTCTACTCTCATGAGCATCACCCCATTTTCTGCCCCATTTATGCCTCCCGCGGGGCCTGGACAATTTCACCATCCACCTAGATCAGCGGTTCTCAACCTTCCTAATGCCGCGACCCCTTAATACAGTTCCTCATGTTGTGGTGACCTCCAACCATAAAATTATTTTCGTTGCTACTCTATAACTGTAATTTTGCTACTGTTATGAATCATAATGTAAATATCTTTTTGTTTCCCCGATGGTCTTAGGCGACCCCTGTGAAAGGGTCGTTCGACCCCCAAAGGGGTCGCGACCCACAGGTTGAGAACCGCTGACCTAGATGATCCTTTCTCCACCATCACCTTAGCGCCTTGTCATTTTATCTCTCGTAACCTTTTCCTCAACTCTAGAACAGCAACACACAATCATAGGTGCCCCTAGAACCTTATCATCACCCAGACCTGCTCTTCCTCTAAGGCAGGTCTCTAAAGGTCCCTTCCTGAACTACAGATATTTCCATCTCCCCACCTTTAACTCCTGCGGAACCAGTTCTCTGACTTTACAAGACGAGTCATCTTTCAACCCATGTCTATTTTCCCTGTGGGTTTCACTCTCCACTCAGCTTGGAGATCCTGCTCAATCACAGCCATGTGTATCGATGAGCAGCCCCTTCTCTTTCCCTGTTACCCTCCCCCCTCACCGCTCTGCCAGTCCCCACCCTTGGGGGACCCACGTGCACTGTGGTGCCTCCACACTGGCTTCTGAGTCGCTGAGCAGGTTTTAGGATGACCTCACCGCCCTGATGCACAGTGGCCAGCTTCGGTGGGGTCTTTGATGCCTTCCATAGGTTACTGCTGTCATCCCACTCTTTAGCAAGAGTTCTGAACCCTTCCACTTTTAGCCCCATCTTTGCTTCACTCACCCTGAAGATGCCATTACCACCGACTTCAGTGAAATCAAACCCTTTATCTTCCTTCACATCTACCTCCAAGTTTCTCTATCCTCTCACCTTCCTTCTCTCTCAGCTCAGGGAAGGAAGGTGTTTCTGACCCGTCCCTCTCCTTAAGATTCTTGCCTTCCCTTGTCACCACCCCCGTTTGCCTCTGGTTTTCTTACACCTCATTGCTACTCTTCCTTGGGTTGTTCTCCAACAACCCCACCCCCTTGCAGCTCACTTAGATGTTGGGATTCCCGAGGGTTCTTTCCCTTACACGTCTTTATGGGCCCTCCTAGTAAATCTCAGGGCTTCAGGTACGGTCTGTGTGGAGAGAGCCTTGAGGGCCTCAGCTTCTGAGACCTGCCTTTCCACCTGCCGCCTGCCCGCCTGCCCCTCACCTGTGCCAGTGCCCCTCCCTTCGTTCCCATCCAACCGGTTCCTCCCCTTGGCGGCCTGTCTTGGAACTCACGGCACCATCCTGTTGGCCCAGCTCCTGACTCATCCTTGACTTTTCTTTTTCTCTCTCCTCATGCACTTAGTGGGCAAGATCCTGTTCCCTCTGCCTCTGTGACGGGTTTCACATCTGCTTGCCTTTGTATGCTGTAGCCTCCTGGCAGTGTCCCTTAGCTCTTTTCTAGATGATGGTAGCGGCTTGCTAGTGCCTCTCCTGCCTCCAGTCTCACGCCTCCATTCACTTGTCACACTGTCCCCAAAGTGACACTCTCAGAACATGGGGCAGACTATGCCATGCCCTTCTTCCGAAACCGCCAGTAGGTCCCCACAATCCAGGCTCCTTAGTGTGTGGGTTCAAAGCCCTTCATAGCCCCACTGACTCCCTTTCATCTCCTCCAGCCTCATCTCCTAATCCATCTCCTGAGAACTCAGCCCTCCCATCTGGGCATCTCTTTGTTTTGTTTATGCTGTTCCCTCTGCTTGGGTCTCCTTTTCTGTTTCCCCCACCTAATAAAAATATTCCTCATCCTTCAAGACTGAGGTAAAAGGCATTTTTTACCTCCTCTCCCCACTCATCTGTAATTGAATACTTTATCCTTCCAGGACACTTGGCTTATACCTTTATTAATTCATCATGTTTGGCAAACAGTTCATTGTTTACAGGGCTAGCTCCCTCGTCTATAGGTCTCTTCATGGCTGAGTGTGGGTCCTGTTTTCCTAGCATTTCCACGGAACCTAAGCCAGCTTTATTCAGTGTGGGTGCTTAGTACACCTTTGAATAATTCTCATAACACTATTTTCTGCTAGTTCTCTAGAAATTTCCTCAAAGTCTTTTCCTTATTTTTTTCTTCTTTCAAGCCCCAAAAGGAAAAACAATAAAAAGCCTCCCAAAAAACAACAATCCCCAAACTCTCTACAGACTCTCCCTACTTGTGAATCTTTTTAGTATAAATGGTTTAGTTGATCCCTTACATGTCCTGTCAGTTTTCTTTATTTTGAAGTGAAATGTTTATTCCTGTCAGGCTGCCTTCCTAGGACCCGAATTCCTTTACATTTTACCGTTTGTTGACCTCATTTCTTACCTTAGCTGGAATCTTGGCTGCATGATTCTCCAGGATCAGTCTCTTCAGGTGCAGAACCCACAGGCGTTTGTCTTGCTGGGATTTTGCCTACCGGAAGAAGATTGGGACAGTCAGGCAACAACTGCTTCCACCATTCATAAGGCTCAGAGGCTCCTATAACCCTCTGGCCAGATGGAAAATACACTGTGTGGCCAGAAAGCTCTGGAAAGGCTGCCTGAGGACACACAGTGCTCATCGTCTGCAAGAGTGAGCCTTGTAGGGAGGCGAGGGCACTGCTGTTACCTGAACCGTGTGCTGCAGCTTGGGGTTCTTGTAGTGGAAGATGCTGAAACTGAGTGGCTCCTTGGGGATCACTTCCACGAGCATGAGGTTGCCACACTGAGAGGGAGAGCAGAGGCACACTTAAAAGGGAATGGCACGAGCGACTCAAGTCCGTGCCCGTGACCACTATTCAGACCTACCAGGATGTGAGCTTTGTATGTAAACGTGTCGTCTCTCTTCTTTGTGATGAGAAGCAGCTTGTCGAAGAGGAAGAGGGTCCGCTCGTTCTTGGCCCGCTGGATGCGGAAGGTTCCTTCAAGTACCAGTTCCCCGTAGCTGGTCAGGTCTGGCCCCTTCCAGTTAGTGAGCAAACTCTGAATCTCCTGAAAAAGTGAGCATCCCATGGGATTAAACAGGAAGTGGGGCGGCAGGGCAGCAAAGTCAAGAGGGCCCATTTGTTGAGCCTCGAGAATGGTGTCTAATGTCTTTGACAGGGTCTAATGGATCTACATGGTGTCTAATGATCCATGACATTAATCTACCTTTATGGGCAGTGTCACTTTAGGGTTAACAAATGAATCAAGTTGTTAGTTGAGGAGTTGCCAGTTATGTATTTCCACTCCTTAATAACCCCTCTCCTATGGCTGGCAGCAGTAGTAATGTCTTTCAAAAGCTAGGTCAAGAGGCTGCTGGTGTGTGGCCTGCTCAGATCGACATCGGTCCCCTGACTTTCTCAGCCCTTATTCTCTGGACAAAAACCTTCAGTTATTGCCTTGGAAACCTTCTTCCAGAAACTGAACTCCACACCACATATAAGTAACTCGAAACTAAACCCTGTGGAAAATCATACAAGAACACATCTTCTCAGTAATTTCCTGATATTAATCCCAATTATGTGGGGAAAGGAAATGAATGTTTCTTCACCACTATGTTTTGAATGGAACTTGATGCATATAAATGGATAACATGACTTTGAAGTTTCTTTGGGATTTACTGGACAGCCATACCAATGTTTTTCAAGGAAACTGACTTTATTACTTTGGAAAATCAAAATGTTCACAAACCGCCTTTAACTAAACAGCCCACAAGACAACCCAAAACATCCTTGATTGAAAGTAGAAGTGCATAGAAATGGAGATAAGTCTGAGCCAGACTCTGATTTAGCAGTGTCTTTAGAATGCCAAACAGATTCATAAGGTATGAAAAACCAGTCATTCAGCCATTTCTGAAAATGCAACAGACATTATGGTTGACATTATGTCCACCAAACATTTTCCAGGACCCATCAGATCTAAGTCAAGTAGTTGTTTCAATCTAGTTGTGGAGGGTGCAACTCAGTGGCCCATGGGGGATTGAACTGGCAACCTTGGTATTACGAGCACTGCGCTCTAACCAACTGAGCTAACCTGCTACCCCCTGCCCACCAAACATTTGAATGATGAAACATTAAACCTTTTCTTACTGCTACAAAAAAACAGGCATGGCTTGGAAGACAAGAATGTCACCTTCCTTTGATTTTTGATAGTCAATTGCATTCTACCATACTTGGCTGCCTATCGCTGAACCCAAGTTTTGTTTGGATTTATGAGCCAAATATTGTTCTTTTTTCCTGAGTTAAGCATAGGCGCTCTGCATAACATGGAATAACTCTGGGTTTTTATGACTCACTTCAGGGACACCCAGAGCCTAGGACTTCCCTCTGGGCCCACATGACCTTTTGTCTTTAAATAGTGCATCTTGTGAGGTGCCCAGAACATGACCACTGGCTTAGCATCTATCAAAAGTTTTCAGGGATTTAGGGCTCAAAATGTTGGTGCTGGAAGGGACCTTAGCAAAACCTTCATGTGTCTTATTTTAAAAATGAGGAATCTGAAAGGCAGTGGTGAGGTCCTGTCCCAAACGGAACTGCGAAGGGCCTGATTCCAGACTTAGCTCTCCTTTCTCTGCGTCCCTGCCCCATTACTACATGTACACCACCTTATTAACTAGCGAGAGAGGAACAGAAGTTTAAGAACCCTTTCAACAACTTAGGGAAAGTTGCTTTCAACAAGAATTACTTATTTTAATTAACATAAGAGAAGGCCCCAGGAGGCTCACATTTTTAACTTGGGTCACTGAAGGGGCTATGAGCAAACTATTAGCTTAAAGTCACCATGTACCTTTCTCTTAAATACCACATTACACAATGATCGGCATTATCGGTGTCCTGATCTTTCTTCAGGGAGGGCTATGATGCAGATGATAAATGAAGTACAGTACATGAGCAGCCCTACTACTTGATTTAGAAAATGATAATAAGTCTGCGCGCTTGCAGCACCACCAGGCACCGCCATCTCGAGGGCTCACCTGTAACCGGATTGCGTGTTCATGTTTCCGCTTCATGTCATTGATGTGCCAAGCTACCCGCTGCATCGTGTCTATAGCATCAAGGACCACATCATAGCCTTCTGTGTCCTTGTCAAGGTGATTTTCTATTTCCTTAAAAAAAAACAAAATGAAACCAAAACACTCGTCATTTTCTTTTTTTTCCTCATATAGTCATTGAAACAAATGGTACATCTATGATTAGTTCCTCATATTTTAGTTTTGCTTAATTATTTATACATTATTAAGGTTTTGAGATAACTTACCAGGAATACCTGTTACAAAATGGTAAGATAGGAATAAAAATGGAGCTAGGAAAAATAGAAGTAGATTAGGATTTCATGACAGGGAGGATAAAACAAAATGTGTATATAGGCCATTAAGTCTCACAGAGATATGATAATGATTATAATAGATACGACAGTTGATATTACAGTTGGAGATTTCTGAGCTGCCTGGTGGCCATGTAACATAATTCCCACTCCTACAAGATAGAAAACATAATTATTTTTCTCCCAGAGGAAGTAAAATGTCTCACACAGGACTTAATACATAATAGCCTAAAACACAGTAAACATTATCTTTGGAGAAAAAAATAACTTCTATAGCAAGTGCATTTTCATGTAGTCAAGGCTTTAAAGCCCAAATCAAGTTCACTGAAGACCATCCTTGAGAATGATGAGGAAGTCGTCCTGGTTCCAGTCCTCACTCTCTGACAGTCAGCACTGAGTCTGGCGCTGGAGTTCCATTCTCCCAGGGAGAAGAGGAAGGGGCACAATCTCTGTTCTAATTCTTTCCAGCACATAAGACACATGTCCTGAGAATCCTCACAAGTGTAAGGTCAGGGACTATTGCATAGTTCCTTTAATCCTTTATCTTCTTACAAGTGCCTACCAGAGAGCTGGGTGGGGGGGTCAATAAATGCTTATTAAATTGAAACTATATCTTCTTAAAACAAAAACAATAGTGACCCTTTATAAGTGTGTCAAACAGTAAGAAGATATTGTAGTCAATTAGATCATTTCCACATTTATCATCCATATTTATTAAAGGATGGAGATTGAATCTTACGGTAAAATTTATGAAGATTAGCTCCATTCTTTTATAGTCATACTTTATAAATCTTTACTTTTACTGAGTAGTCAAGTTTTCCAACTATCTAGAAACTGGAAAGGAATTTACATTTTCATTCCACTTTCAGACTCAGCTGTTAGGAAGATCTTACAAAACTGCACCACCAAACTAACAGCTCCCAGGTAAGGACAAGATCAACAGCAAGGTTAAAAAAAAATAATTTCTTCTTTGAGTCTGAGAGGCCATCCTGTTCATCAACAATCAGACTCAGGAGGACACAGTGTATTCTTGTGGGGATCTTCATGGATGGCTACACCACTTTGAAGTGATGTGAATGACACAGAAGGAATAGTCTAAATAAACTATAAAAGCAAAAATAATTCAAAGGCAGCCAGAAGTTTGTTTTCGATTAATCTAACCATTGTGTTTCCCCTTTTCCTTCATTACCAGTTGCTATAGACTGAATGTTTGTGTCTCTCCCAAAATTCAAATGTTGAAATGCTAACCCCTAATGTACTGGTCTTTGGGGGTCATTAGGTCATGAGGGTGGAGCCGGTGGAGCACATAAGGGGTTAGTGCCCTTATAAAAGAGACCCCAGGGGGCCAGCCAAGTGGTGCATTGGTTAGGAGTTGGCTTGGGACGCCAGCTCTAAGCAGCAGGGCCCCGGTTCGGATCCCACATGAGGGCCATTGATGCTGTGTCCTCTACAGCTAGGATGGTGAACAACAGCTCGACCTGGATAAGGGCTGCCATGAGTCGCCGGTGACGGCATAGGCTGCAGTGGGCTGCCATGAGCTACCATGAGCTGCCGGGAACTGCCATGAGCAGCCGTCCAATGGCTGGCAAGCAATGGCCTCACCCGGGAAGAGTGCAACGATAATACTAACATGGGCCAGTGAAGCGACATCCTCCACAACTAGACTGAAGAACAAAAGGACAGCAACTTGTCTGTTCCCCTTCCCCGATTCCCCAATGCTGTTCTCCTCCCCCAATTTCCAAATAAAATCTTTTATTTTTTTTAAAAAGAGAGCCCAGGGAGCTCTCCGGCTTCTTTATAGCCTGTGAGGAAACAAGGAGATGTCCGTCTCTGCAACTCAGAAGAGGGCTCTCAACAGAACTTATCCATGCTGACACCCTGATCTCAGGCTTCCAGAAATTGTGAGAAATCAATTTTTTTTTGCTTAAGCCACCAAGTCTATGCTACTTTGTTATAGCCGAAAACTGACTAAGACACTACCTCTTAATTTCAAGAGTAAGGGGTGATTTTCCTATCAATTAACTTTTTGTAAGGATCTTCACTTGTGTCTGACATGCTTATATAACTGAGATCTTAGACATTTCTTTTGATTGATGACCACCTTACTGTCTTGAAGGCCATACTTAGAGATGATTGGGACACACTGGTCTTAGATGCCATATTCGCAGAGTCCAGCAGAGATCTACCCTGGGACAGGTATTATTTACTTAAGAGTTATTTGGACACTGATTTAGCAAATCAATCCTACTAATCTAAGAGGTCATTAGTATCAATTTAACAAAGGAACATCCCTGATATGGCTTCACAGGACACAAGATTCTCGAAAGATGAGCCACCCAGGCAAAAAGACAAAGCTGAGAAATTTCTGGTAAAGTTGGACCATAAGAGTTCTTAAAAATTTAAATGTGTGTGAACTGAGCAATCCTGGAGTGATTATCCAAGTTAGAAATCTGGAATCATTTAAAAAGACATACACATAAACAGCAGGCATGTTGATATGGAGAGGAGCTCTGGATTAAAATTTCTTTAAGATTTTAAAGTAGGATAATAAAGTAAAAATAGATTAGCTTTATTGACTGCCTATAAGCCACAGTGAACATGGGCAATTTATAGGATTTGAACCCAGGCAGTCCTGCCCCAGAGCCCAGCTCCTAACCACTGGGCTCTACTGTCTTTCTCATGCAGCATGGGCAATCCAATCCTACTTACAGAATGAAAATAAGTTTCAACAAAACTTATTTTTGTTTCCATTTTTATCCTCTTCCTTAGATGATAAAAAATGAGAATGTGAGTGCTATGTCTACCTTTGTTTCTAAAGCCTCCTTGAATTTTGTCCAAATAACAGGGAACGATACAAAGAAAAGATACCCTGAAGTGATGCTAAGCCCAGCTCAGAGCTCACTCACCACACTGCTCACCTGTCTTCCCCTCTTTCAGCCCCTTCTCTTTGCTCATACAAAAGCGGATCTATGACAAATCGCTCTCCCTCCCAACTGCCTACTGAATCTGGGCCCATGGAAATAAAATAAAACATAAAAAACCTGTTTTTCATTAACATGATAGCTCCTTGCCTGAAACGGTCGCTGCCCAGAGTGAGGTACTGCTGAGCACTATCAGAATCAGAACGAAAATGAATCTTTACTCGGCTGTTGTCAATGGGGCTGTAGGCCTAGAATATAAATATCTCTAATGCCTCAAAGCAGATTAGTCAGTTGTAAAGTATGAGCCTGGAAAACGGTTCCATATGTCCCCAGCCTTTTCCGCTATTTTTTTTCCCCTCCTTAATATATACACACAAAATCCTCATTCCCTGGAAAGAACTCAAGCACAGGCAGAACCTTACATGTAAAAGAAGGTGATACTTGAGAATCCGCTGAACTGGTTTCAAGAGATAGGACCCCAGAGGCAGCGAGTGCTTCAAAGTTTCCTGACGCTCCCTGAAGAATTTGGCCAGCGTCTTGTTCCTCATGCACTCTGTTAGCACAGCCACTGATCTGCAAGAAGAATAAACAGTTTTATCTCGATTGTAATGCTTAACATGGGTACTCATGCTTTAAATGCCAACATTCATGCAATGCCCTAAAACAGGGAAGGAAGCAACAGAGCTACAGCTAGATTGGAAGGCCGCTGGGTTAAGTTAGACAGCGGTGTGTCCCTGGTGGGTGAATTAGAAAATGACACTTGAACAGTGACGGCGGCACAAGGACACATGGCCTGGCAAAGGGGATTTCCATCGGCTGTTATCCCCCTACTGCGCCCCGTCTGGGTGTCTTTGTGCAATGCTCAAACTGCACATCTGTATTCAGTTTCCACAGGTTAGGATGCAAGGAGAGGGCATCTTTGTAATAAGAAAAAGGAGTTCCTTCTTCCCAGTAGATCTAGCCCCGTGCTGGGCAGTGTCGCCCCTTCTGCTGGTTGTCTTGTATCATGCACAAACTGCATGATATTACATGCAGGTTTTTGGAGGCCTCATCCCGCAGGTCAACTTCCCTTTGAGAATCTTTGAACAGATTCCTCTTCCCACCTCCAAATGGCTCTGCTCATTCTAAAGACAGCTCCTGAAACAGCTATGTAACCTTGCTGCTCAAGCCGCGTGTCTCAGAGAGTGTATCAGAGAAGCAGGTCAGGATCCCGCCTCCATCCCAGCTCTCCCAAAGGTAGTAAGTACGGCCCCCAAGCATCCTAGGGGAATGGTTGAAATAATGCTCATAGCTTATACGGAAAGCAAGCTAGTGGGCTTGTGTAGTCACACACATGTAAATTAAAATCTTATGGTCTCAGAACTTAGAAGGAAGCAGGTGGAAGTAATTTATCCCCAAGCCAGTAATATGTTTTCAGGATTAATTTAGAAAATCAGAGCCAAACAACAAAATAAAACTCCTTGAAAGGAAGTTTTAATAGCTTCTAATTAAGCTATTAGAAGCCCCTTTGAGCCCATCTGCTTTGAGGACTATCTATTCAAACAGGTTTCTTTCCCCCCTAAAATGAGATTTCAAAACTTTCTTCCATCATGTAATCAAGGACCTCTTGTAAGGTTCGTTAGAGTCATCCCAGCTGCTCAGTAGTTTTTGGCCACCTGGAGGCTGGACCTGTTGCCCAAGAACAAGAACCCGCCCTAGTCTTGAGCACACTGAACTCCGGGTTCAGGCACAGGGAGACATCCGAGGACAATGACCTGACTGGGTCTGGGCCCTCCCTGGGGGACAGATACGGGCCTTGTGTGTCTTCACAGTGCAATCACTGGGGCCCAGATGGTATGAAGAAGGTGGACATCTGTCAAAATGTGCTGGCAACATTTAATATCACCAGCCTGGATCCGAAGGGGAAAGAAAAGTTGTCAGATGGGCTGGAACACCTGGCATTCTTGGCTTGTTAGGACAGGGGAAAGGAAACCTCAGGCCTTAGAGAGCAAACTGATTGGAGACAAGGGGATAAGAGGAAACAATTTTTCTGTGAATATGAAAACCACACAGTTGGGCAAGAACTGGACGTGCCTGCTTCTCTGAGAATGCCTTTTGAGCATCTCTCTGCTAACACATTTCTTTCGTTCTTCAAGTCAGATTAAAAAAGTAACTAAAATAAAAAACCACTTTCTCCAGGAAGTTGTCCTTAACTCCCCTTGCTGGGACTTACTACTCCTTTATCTCACGATGTATATTTTACTTCTATGACAGATTACGAGTTTGTACTACATTAATTTGTATTTATTGATTTGCTATCCCACTATTGCATTCAGGTGGGTTCTGACCCTCAAAAGAATATAAACCACCAGACGGCAAGGGATATGGTTCCTAAGAGGTAGTTTCTATTTCCTACCAATGTACACAGAGCTTTGAACTGTGCTCCATGAACAATAGGCTGGTGCAAATGACTTTGCTTTCCCCTGACCCTGAAGAAAGAAGCTTGGTACTGGGGTTGCCAGAAAAATGTACAGAAGTGGACACTTTGGTCAGTGTTGCTCAAGCAGTAGTTTGCTGTAACCAGAAGTGCCTGGACGCTGATGGTAACCCTTTGAGCACCTCTTATAATTGCAGAAGTCAAACGTGACTTTTGTTATCGGTATGTATAGAATGTTACAATTTTAATAGTTTTTTTCCTTTTTAAAAATGTGTATATATTTTTTTGGTACCCTCTGTCTATAAAAAATTGTCTTTATTTTATACTCTCCTTTCTTATTACTAAGTCAGAAAAACCTTAATATCTATCTACTTCCAAAATTGCAAATTCAGAAGTTCTTCCTTCAAATGGTATGTTTATAATGAAATTTATACAGATATAATCTCCCAAGACCCTCTAGTGCCTCAGAGCCCATCACTGGGTCCAGTACTTGTTGATTCTTCAGAGTGTGAATGTTTTTTCCTTTCCCTCAACACATGTTGGTTGGAATTTCTTTGAATGAGGGTGTGGTACGATGCCTGGTTTTCAGCTTAAGGACTGTGGCTTTAGTTGGGGCATCCTACAATTTCCTGATATCTCAGCACAGATGTGGAAACTTTAGGAGAGAACATTGCTTAAGTGGAATTGTAAACTGTGGGTGGGTTTCCACCCATAGGCATATGGTGATAAATGTATACTAACCTGGGTGTAGGTTTTGTTTTGTCTTGTTTTTGCTTGGCCACCAACCAAATAAATCACCACAACCCGATATCCTGACCAATATCTTGAGCAGTAGACTAAAATTCTCTAATGGAAAGTATCTTGCCACAAGGAAGTCTGAGCCTCTGGCGTCACGCTTTTTAAGCTGCCCTGGCTTTCTGGGGCCACTCCGAGCAGGGAGCCCATTTGTTCTTCCTTACTGCAGCAGCTCGAGTGGCTCAGCCTGCTGGCTTCTCTTCCAGGGGGAGCCCCCACCCACTTGATCCTTAGGGACAGGTCTCTACCGAGATTGGCTACATAGCCTCTATAATAAAATCTCCCTGGCTGTCATCCTCCTGGCTGGTCCCTGGGATCACAACTCAAGTCCTGCTGATAATGTGGGAAAACTGACGATAAGAAGGCATGGGACCAGGGGCGGGGGGTGGGGGGGGGGCGAGCGGGAATCGCAAAGCTTCAGGAACCTTATGAGGCTGTGATAGCGTGAGTCTGAGTTTGGGGAAGCCTAGGGGGCCATTCACGAGCTATGTCATAACCCTTGTAAACTCAATAAACCTATTGGCGTCTCATTGCTTCATCTATACAGTGGGGATGGGGCAGGGGTGATGGGGAACTAGAACTGGTGGAGAACCTATTACATGCCCGGCACTGTGATGGCTGTTGTGCTTTTCTTTAATCCCTCAGTATTTCTGGATTGCTGTGAAAGTTAAATTCAGCAACATTTTTTATGTACAGCATTGGACAGAGATTAGGAATCAGTAAGTGCTCAATAAATGTCTTCTGCACAAAAGAGAAATTCCAACAGTGTCACTCATGTTCTTAGCCCGACTCCTTAATTGAAATGGTCAACACATCACCCAGGGGTGCTCCCTAAACTGCCCCCCTGCCAGTGCTCCCAGTATGAGCAGTGATCCAGGCGAGACCATGAGCCCTCTCTTCTCACCTAAGCTCATCATGATCTCTCCTTTCTCCAGAAACCTTATATAGTTCATAGAACTTATATAGCAAAAATAACATATTTTCTCTCTAGCCAGGTTATATGCACTCATTAGCAGTGCGTTCCATATTTTTAAATGATGGCACATGTACAAAAGGGTTACTAGACAACACTTCTAGCCAAACGCTGGTTTACTAAGTTTTCCATTGAAGGACACCTAGCAATCGTTTTGGTCTTTTTCAAGACCTTTCATGATATTCCTCTCCCCTGGCTCTGATAGGAACCCTAAGCCTGAATGGACCAATATCTGGGTAACCCAGTAAACCGTTGTCAGCATGGTTTCCGGTTTCCCACAGCATTCAGCACAGTGACAGGCACATCATGTCCAACACCAACATAGTGGGCTGGCTTGAAACTACATGAAAGTAAACAAAAGTACTCCTGCACATTTACAATACGTACCTTGGATAGTTGGTGCAATACTGGGTGTAAATGTGGAATTCTTCACTCTGCAAGGAAACGAAAGAGACTTTTATAGGCAAAAAACCAGAGATATCTATATCCATTTTAAAACAATAAAAAGAAACAGCATTCATGCCTTTAAATTTGTTTCTCTAATCACAGGGGCTTGTCTCCTGAGCCCCTGTGGGATCATCTGTGCCTTATTATCTAACTTGCTTTAGACCTAGAATCCATATGTATCTGAACTCACTTGAGTCCAATAAAAACTTATTGAGAATCTGCTGAGTGAGGGGAATCCTAAGGTAAATAGGAAGAGGAGGAAAATAAGGTTTCTGCCCAGGTGCTCATAGTCCTCCAGTGCATTTGTAGTGTGAGGGAGAAATATGTGTAGATAATTTAACTAGCATGTGGAAAGAACGTGTTGGAAGTCTGTGCAGGGCACGAGAAAGCTGCTATATTCTTTCAAGCCCCTGTGTATGCCGTGATCTCTGCCCACTGTCTGTCTTCCCCACCTTTTCCAATGGAGGGCCACTATACATCCTTTGACATTGAACTTTGGCTTTATTTCCTCCCAGGAGCCTTCCCTGAGCTCTCGGGCTGAGCCAACTGCTCCTACCCTGGGTTTCACAACACCTGCTACTCACCTGTCTTGTAGCATTTACCAAATGATAGTGACATTTTCTGTGTTATTTGCATGTCTCCCGCTCTGGGCTGTGAGTTCATGTAGGATAGGCGCCATATTGTGTTCAGCCTGTACATAATATTTGTTGAACTACTGAATCCACTTCTCTTCTACTAACTTGAAAATTATTTCCTCTGTGTGCATCTAGCCTGGCAGCAACGCCTCAAATGCAATAAATGTTTGACTCACCAACGTGGGGTTCTTGTCTTTCACTATAATCATATTCCCAGCTCCCTAGTATCTCTTAATCTTTCAGACACCTAGTCATATGATCAAATATTGGGAAATATTCAATTAACACTTCTTGCTCTTAAAGGATAATTTTTCAAAAAAGGTAAAATTATGACTTCCATGCAACTATAACATGAATGCTGTCAAGAATTTTACTTAACCTCTTAATTAATGAGGAAAAGCAGTAAGGTATTACAGCTGGATCAAAGAAGAACTCAAAGTATCACACTCAGGTCAAAGGGGAATGCAAAAATGGATTTGCAAATAACACAAAACGTTTTTTTCGAGAGAGAGATCGGTGGGTAAAGAAATCAATGGTCTCTCTATGGGACAGCATTCATTTGCTTGCCTGTGGTCAAGATCATTTACTGTAGGTTGCTATCAGTTATCTATAATTTACAGAGTTGTAAACAAGTTTGAAGACAATGAAAGGTGCAGAGACCCCACCCAGCCATATAATTTAGAAGGGAAAATTTGAAAATACCGAAGGCTTTTTATTGGAGGCACCCAGTAATCTCTTTGGTTGATTTCAAAGTCTTTGATAATTTTTCCCTAGATTGCCAAGAGAGAGAATATGCAGATGGGTGGGTGAGGTGGCAGAAGCTAGTTTTTTAAAATTTTGTTTGGAAAACTCTCAGTCAGAATGAACAATTCAAGGCCAATGAAAATCTATCTTTTGTAAACTCTAAAGTGGAATGACGTTTTGAAAACAGAGCCACAGACTGTTTTGGTGTGTTTCACATTCTTCTCTAACTTTTTATATCCTTTTACTTTTTAAACCACTTCATGCTGGAGTCACATGTGGCTCCCAGATAGTGCCTTTTAATTTACGTTTTGGAACTTTAATACTTTCATTATTTTTTTCTGATTAAAACGAATTTCTACTTAGAATCTTTTCTGTTACACTCAACTAGGATTAAATTTTTTTATTATAGAAAGTTCCAGGCATATATAAAAGTAGAGAGGATGATGAAATGAATCCCAGGTATCCATCCCCCAACCCCAGCATCATGGACTCTTTGTGGGTGCCTGCTCGCCTGCCTTGACCATGACTCTGAAGCAAATTCAAGACATCATATCATTTCACTTGCAAATATTTTAGTATATATCTCTCAATAAGGACTTTCAAAAGGAAGCATCACCTCAATGCCATCATCATATTTAAATAACTCCATAAAATCATTAAAGTTCATCAGTCACTATTCATATTTTCTATCTTCTTAGCTTCCTTGTCTCTTTTTATCATAGTTTCCCTGTTTGATTTGAATCACAAATACTGGCTACACAGAGTCCCTGGTAGATAGCTCTTCATTCTCTTCTAATCTATAAGATCTCCCTCTATGTTTCTCCCCCTTGCAAATTAGCTGTTGAAGAAACCAGGTGGTTTGTCCTGCAGAGTTTCCCAGTTTCAATTTTGCTGATTACATCCCTGTGGCTTCCTTTAATATGTTCCTCTGTCCCCTGAGCTCCATGTGGTTTAATAGGGGCTTGATCAGATTTAGGGTCCATACTTTAGCACGAATACATCACAGGTAGTATCGTGTTGCCATCAGGAGGCACATAATGTCTGGTGTTTTTCTTTTTGTGATGTTAATAACCATTGGTGATTATTGCCTAGATCTATAAATTCATCAAAATGGTGATATGTCAAACTCTATTATTCCTTCTTCATTTATTAGCCAGAATTTTTCCAAAAAATCAACTTCCTTGTATTAACTATTTGTTACCATACAGTTTGTAGCTTGTATGAGAAAGGCAGGATAGATAAATGCTAGATTCCCTTCCTTAATTTTCAAAAGAATTCATGGCTTGGCTTTTTACATATCACTGTGAATTCATGAATATAAACACAGTTAATGATTTTCAGTATTTTGAGTTAATCATCTTTGCTGATGGTCAAATGATCCCACCCTTGGCCAGTAGGAGCCTCTTCTTGAGTATTCATGACCTGATCTTACAGCCCCTGGGAGTTTCCTTGTTTCGGGGTCACAAGATATTCCAAACTATCCTATATATTTCCTTCCCACACTCATTTCTTCACGCCCTGGTTCTTTTTGGTAGGAAGCAGTATTTGGAATCTGAGCATTAGGGATGCACTTGCTACTAGGTTAATTATTATTTCTAGGTCTTTTCAGAGGATGGGGTTAGGAAAATGGTGTTTTATAAAGATAAAACGCATCCCTTAGTTCATACTGATACGTGCGCTTCAGATTCACAACTACAGCATTTTTAAGTAGCCTCATTCTTACTCTGTCTTTTCTTTCTGCTACCAATTTCAGTTCTCAATGACACTACCATAAATACTCATCTGCTTTTTCCCACAACACACTCAATAATTTCAGGATAACAACACCAGGTGATATGTGATGTCATTACAGAAACAGTTAAAGACGTATTTGTTGAATTTTGTCCATAGCATATTTTTTAATCAGTTGGAATTTCCTCTGTTTGGTTATGTCACAAACTGGATACACAATTACGCTCATTATTTCATTTTGCTTTCAATTTTTGAAGACTGCTTTTTTTAAACTTTAATTGTGTTTCATAATTATGTAAAATATGTACATGGTTTTAAAGTCAACTCTACAAGGAAATGTATATTCAAAAAGTCTAGCTTTCATTTCTTTCCATTCTAGTCTATTCCTTCCCTACCATATCAGGAACCAGTTCTAATCTTACAGTTTATCATTTTTTTAAAAACATACACATTTAAATACAGGTATATTCTCCTCATTCCTAGGTAAATAAAAAACACACAAAAAAAACTATACCAGTGATTTGCAAACGTGAGTGTGTTTCAGAATAATCTGGAAGGCTTGTTAAAACACAGATTACTACATTGCACCCCCAGAGTTTCTGATTTAGTAGGTCTGGGGTGGGGCCCTAGAATTTGCATTCCAATAAGTTCCTAGATGCTGCTGGTACAGGGACCACACTTTGAGAATCACAGTGCTACACACACTTTTATCCACTCCCCCTGCCCTGCCCAGACCCTGCCTACTAGTACTATTTATTTCTTCAAAAATATTTTATTGGGGAATTGAGGGAGGGGAACAGCGTTGGGGAATCGGGCAAGGGGAACAGAAAAATTGCTGTCCTTTTGTTCTTCAGTCTAGTTGTGGAGGGCGTCACTTCACTGGCCCAAGTTGGCACCATCATTGTGCTCTTCCCAGGTGAGGCAGATCGGTCGCTGGCCACTGGACGGCCACTCACAGCGGCTCTTGGCAGCTCATGCTGGCTGCTGGCCACTCATGGTAGCCCATGGCAACCCACTGCATCAGGGGCTGCAGCCTACGCTGTTGCCGGTGACTCACAGCAGCCCAGCTCCAGGTGGAGCTGTTGTTCACCATCTTAGCTGTAGAGGGCAGTGTCACTGGCCCTAATGTGGGATCCGAACCAGGGCCCTGCTGCTCAGAGCTGGCGTCCCAAGCCAACTCTTAACCAACGCGCACTTGGCCGGCCCTTATTTATTCTTTATTTGCTTTTACTGCTTCATAATACTCTATTATATGAATATACTATGGTTTATTCAAGTAGTTCCTTGCTTATGGATATTTGGGATAGTTCTATGTATTTTATATTTCTAAATATATATATTTATTTATATACATATAGGTATGTACGCGTATATACAATGTGATTACATATATATATATATATATATATATATATATATATATATATATATATGAGGTACCAAAAGAATGTATACACATGACTTGTATTCATCTTTTGGTATCGTTTTTTGGCACCCTCTATGTGTGTGTATGCGTATAGTAACAATTATCACTGTAAAGAATAGCATCACACTTATTGAATGTTTGTCACCGTGTCTTTGGAGTAGATTTCTGGAAGTAGAATTGCTGAATTAAAGGGTGACTTTGGGTGTAATTTTGCTACATATAGCCAGATTCCCCTCCAAGGGTCTGTGCCATTTTGTTTCCCCCCAATTACGGGAGTGCCTGCTTCTCCATGGCTTTGCCAGTTTAGTAAGCTGCCAAAATTTCAAGCATAGTACTGTAAAATAATCGAAACGAGTTGCCAACTTCTAAAAGTTAGAAGATAAAAATATCTCAATTTCTGGCTTCTCCTGAAAAGGCACTAGATCCGCTGGCCCTGGGCCCACAGGCTCACATGATACTTATGTCCCCAGGAGACCAGGCAACTACCTAGATGGCTACAGCCTCCACCTGGGCACATTCATGCACTGTGTCCACCTGTTTGGCTCCAGAAAGCACTGGAGGATCCAGCCCTGGGTCCATGGATAAGAGAAGCAGCGGGACTTCCCCAAGGTCTTCCAGTAAAGTCAATGTCAGACTGGTGGCTTGCTCTGGGTTTGCTCACACACTCTCAGTTTCTTGCTTCTTCTGTCCTGCTTCCTGCTACACTCAACCTGGGATTAAATAATATCAGGCTGACTTTCCTTAAATTTTGAGAAGTTTAGGATCATTTGAAACACCAAACTTAAAAACAATAGTCTCAGTGAAAATATGTATACATCACATCATATATTTGACCTGCATAGACTTGTCCCTAATAAAGCCTCAAGACTTCCGTACAATTGAATTTCTGTGCATTTTGTGACATCAGGGCTCCATTCCTATCTTAAATTAGAGAGCTTGATTTAAATCAGCTGTATATTCTTAACATAGAATCCAATGCATGTATGATCTTAGATTTGTAAAATCGGTGGACAATTCAAACAATAGTTTTACACAAAAATCAATAGCCCCTAGTTAGTCAATCCTTAAATGCCTATTCCTTATGACATATGCCACCCCAAATCCTTTTCAGAAATATTTAGGGAAAAAGAAGTCAATGAGAAATCATATAAAAATGGATATTTCCTTCTGGCTACTCAAATCTCTCAAATTACAATTAGAGATGATGTAGAAATGAGACATTTAATTATGAAAGGACAAATATATAAGATAGTCAGGGCTGGCCTACTGAGCACATAGGGTGCTGAAATGTTTAGTGAATGAGCAACCAGAGCAAAAAATCTGTATGATTTGAGGGTTTCTTCTGTCCCTCCCTCTGTCTCCCTCTCCCCCTACCCCCACACATATTGATGCCTGAGAAACTTTCGCTGGCTGCTATGAGAAAGGCTTAATATGTAAATAGCACATGGGTACAGTAACATTGATCTGAAGTCGCTCCAATGATATGAATATTAAATATCAGCACTTTCTTGGAGATACTTTCAATAAGTGGGTGGTGTGTGTGTGTGCACGCGCGCACTCGTGCGTTCATGTCTGGGCACTGAAGGGAGAGAGACCCCAATGCGGAGGAAGGCCATGCGTCAAGGGAGAGGGCGACATTAATAGGGGAGGTTGGGTCTCTGAAAACAGACTTTGTCTCCCTGGTAAATGGTTCCCAGGGTCAGCCCAGCTGACAGTCAAGGTAAGGAATGCACATGAGAGTGGAGGTAAAGGCAGGAAACAGGTCAATTTGTTCCAGGTGTTTCTAGCATCCTAAGAGCAGACAAATGCCCAGATGGGAGACAGGTTGGCCTGCCCTGTAGGGATCTTGTATCTCTGTCCCTCAAGGGAATGGCCTCTGCCCCTCTTGTTCTTCCTTTTTGGGTAGCAGGTAAGAAGTCCGTACTGTATTCTCCTTTTGTCAGCAAGGATTTCTGTAACCTGCACATACCACAGAGCAAGGTCAGAGATGAATCTCTGTGTAAGCCCCAGTGCTTCAGATAAAAGCAGAAGTCAACCGCCAGTTTTACTTCTTTCTCTAATGGCCTCTCAATTAAAGCAATTTTCCATCCCTCCCCAGAGTGGAGCAGCTGGTTGTGTTTCAGAAAATGTAACATCTTCTAAATTTCAGGGTGCTGAATGAAAAGCAGGTTGAGCCAGAACCAAGCAGTCCCTCACAATTCCCTGCTTACATGGGAAAGTGTGGAGTGCCGAAGTCAGTCTTCTAATTAAACTTGGCAATATTACAATGAAAAATAAGATTTGGGAGTTGGCAGCATGGCACATAAACAAACTTTTATGTGAACAATTAAGCCGGAGCTAAGCATATGCTGGACCGTCTTTAATCAACTTGTGATTACAGTTACCAGTAAAAGCCCAAACGTTTCCAAAAGCCTCGATGTTGTTCATGTGCTGTGGTTATTTTAACATATCTTCTTTGATATACTCAGCGTATCTTTTTACCCATTCTTCCTGCCTTCATTTTCAAATTCATATGCTTTAGGAGAATTAATTATGACACAGGCAACTTGTGAAAAGAGTTGAGTCTTTTCACAAAAAGCATGTGTGCACAAACATTTTACAAGTCAACGCGCACACACACACACACCCACACCCACCCACACAGTCAGGAGCATTTTATACACAAGGCCATTAACTGCCTTGAAGGAACCACACTCCAGTAAAACCCAGAGTGTTATGTTTGGATTCAAAACCATTGGCTGGATCTACAGCTCGTCACAAATGACTCTGTGGAACAGGCCCCTGAGCCGGGCTGGGAGGACATCTCCAAGTCCACACTGGACTCCCGTTTTCCAAATGAGGTACTAATTCTCGGTTGATCCCAAAGTCCCGGCATGAACTTTGCTTAAACCTTTGTATGTGTGAAACCACAACTTATGAAATCACATGAAGTTTTGCTTCAAAACAATTTCTGCTAGAGGTTTCCCAAACAAAAGCTGTTGAATTTTTCAGAGAAACTTAAGACAGGATTCTATATATAGTAGGTGGCATGTCGAGAAGGTTGACTTGTATGTTTCAGAACACCGTTTGCAACATGGGTACAGAGTACAAACCAGCTGTCATTTAAGCTTTAAAAGTCAGACCCTTTCTTTGTATTTTTTAATTTTATTTTATTTTAGCTGAGCCATCCTGCCACCTGTTGGCAGCTCAGCGGCTGCTCAGCTCGGGCTGGGACTCGAACCGCTGTTGCTCAGAGCTCACACTCTTGCGCGATCTCTTAACCAACTGAGCCACTCGGCCGGCCCTGTATATTTTTAAACCATCAGTGCAGCTTAAGAAAAACAGAGGAAAAGGAAGATGCATTTTGAAGGTGGAAGAGATTAATTCTGCTTCTCTTTATCTCCCAAATGATAATTATATCACTGAGGCTGGTGCTATATATATTATATACACAACATTTATATTCTAACAGATTTTTGTCACTGGTCTCGTGGTATTCTATATGTACTTGTTTTTATCTAACATTCTTCTATTCTGAACCCTCCTTCCCCCCAATTTGAAGTTTTTTTCTGGGAAAGATGAGTAACGTCAGTCGGTTACTATATAGTTCCAGGACTACTATTCAGTTAGCAGTTAGCGTTTCCTAACTTACTGGGGACAGTAACAGTTTTGTTTTTTTTCCCCTTGCTGGTAAAACAAAAACAAAAACAAAAAACCAGAGTGAGATAGATTAGTGGCTAATTTCACACAACAGGGAACAAACAAGTCATTTTACCTTTAACATGGACACAATTTGTACTCTGAATCTGTCTTGGTTGGCCCAGAGAAATGAACTCTGCTTACCTTGGACACGAAACATTCTGCTATGGCCACGGGGTCATTTTCACAGTTTTCCAAATCTTGCAGAAGTTCACTAATAAAAAGGTAAAAGAAAATATTAGATTGTAGTCTTATGGTTGAGGACATTTTATAGAACTTAGAAGTTTAAACGTTTATTTGGCCTTTACAAGGAATTGTACGTAATTGAATAACTGAGGACCTATTTTCATTATAGCCAAGGCTTGGATAAGGGACTTGCCCAAGGTCATGCTGGAGTAGAACTTTCAACACAGGTCTGATCTCTAACTCTCCCACCCAGAGATATGCCCTGACTACCATTTAAGTCTTCAAGATGTTTGTCACTGTCTGCATGGGTGCTCACACACACTCATTCACTCCTCAAATAGCTGTCTAGGTACAGGTGCTGTGCAAGGCATGAGAGCAAATGCATCAGTGAGCAACATGAGATGGTCGCTGCTCTCTTGGAGCTTGGAATCCATCGGAAGGGTCAGACATTCAATAAAAACAACACACTAACAAATATAACATTATAAGTCGGAAAGATATGCTAAGGGTGGAACTACCTTTTCTCAGATGTAAATCTACATTATTTTTTAATGGTTCATTATTTTAAGTAACTTTCACTATAATTCATTGTGTGGCTATTCTATAATTAATTTAACTGATTTCCTTCTGTTGGATAAAATTCTGTCAATGGAGTTGCTGGGTCAAAGGCATTCTCAGTGTAAATGTTAACACGTTTCCAAACTGCACTCCATACAAGTTGCATTAATACATTTTTTACTATGTTAAGTGTTTGTTTTAATTAACTGTGTATGACATATTTAATAAAAAGTTAAATAGTTCTATAGGAATTATGATAAAAACAAGTAGTTTGCTGCATTGTTCCCTCTTTCTTTTTTTTCTTAAAGATTTTTACTGGGGAATTGGGGAAGGGGAACAGCCAAGTTGTTGTCCTTCAATCTTAGTTGTGGGGAGTGCAGCTAGCTCAGCTCCAAGTCCAGTTGCCATCCAGCTGCCCGTTGGTAGCTCAGGGCAGCTCTGCTCAAGGTGCTGTGTTCAATCTTAGCTACGGGTGGGCGTAGCCACCATCCCATGTGGGAGTCTAACCGGCAACCCTGTTGTTAGGAGCACATGCTCTCACCAGCTGAGCTATCCTGCCACCTGTTGGCAGCTCAGCAGCAGCTCAGCTCAGGCGCAGCTCCCTGGCCCACGTGGGAATTGAACTGGTGACCGACTCTGTTGCTCAGAGCCGCTCTTAACCAACTGAGCCACTTGGCCAGTCCCATTGTTTCCTACTCTTGACGGCCACCCTCTGGAAGCATTTTCAACTCTAGCTGTTTCTGCTGTATGTATCCATGTTTCTAAACACGTTGATACTGCATTTTCATTATTTCTCAGTTTCCTTTTGAATTTCCTTAAACCTGCCCTCCTCCCATCTTTTCAATGAGTTCCGTTATGAAATTTGATTAAAGTCAGAGCTTACATTTTTAGAACTATGTAAATTATTCTCAGCTGAGCCTTGCAGTATACCATAATTACATTTCCTTTCTTGCACAACCATATTTTCCCTGGAATTAAAATTGTTTTGTTTTTTTTTGCTTTGTATCAACGTATGCTGCTAATTTATCCTCCAACTTTGTGCCGGAAGTGTAACTCTGGTCTCACTGTGTTCAACCATCCGATCATCTGTTGGCTGTTTTCTTTCCAGGTAGCCTCCCTCCTGCAGCCCTCTGTCCTGCGCCCACCTGAACAGGATGCCCGCCAGGCCTGCTGGGTTCTCTCTCCCACACCATTCTGACAATGCCCTTCCCCTAGCTTCTGTGTGAGAGGCCTTGTTTCTTAGACACCATTTCCTTCTTTGGGAGATTACCACACCCAGCCGCTTTCTGAGTAGGGGTAACAGGCAGTGCATTTTCTGAGACTCTTCTTATTTCAAACTGTTCTCCCTTCCTACTTGGCTGATAATGTCAGTGGATACAGAATTCTTGGTTGGAAGTCATTTTTTCTGAGCATTCAGGAAACTATGTTGCCTCTTGAATTCCAATGTGCTGAGAATAATATCATCCTGATCCAGGTTCCGTGTGACCCATTTTTCTATTCTGGAAGCTTTAAGAGTTTTCTCTTTGGTAACATAATTCTGAAATTCTGTGATGGGTGGCTTTGGGGTGGGTCTTTTTCATGCATAGAGCCAATGAGAACATTTGGGGAATTTTCTTGAATGTCAGCTCTCAAAGTGACTCCTGGGTTCCTCATATCCATTGAGGAGCTCCAGAGGCCACATTTTCCTAAAAAATACTTAGACACTACACTCTCATTCTCTCATGAGAGCACAGTAGACTTTTCCAGAAGCTATATGACTTGTGATAGCCTAATAGGCGGAAAACAGCAGCAGATATGAGAATCCAGCTGTCTTCTAGTAAGTCAGACAGTAAAGAGATTTGTAAATATACAAGACAATTCTAACACACCAAAAATGTTAGTGAGAATAGTAAAATTATTTTTCTAGAAATTTGTGGATGTATTATTATTATTGAATAAATTGAGTTTTTAACATTTTCTCAGTTTTAATTTCTATCACAGTAAACAAAACATCATAAACCATAAACAAAAAAACTTTTTGGGTCCTTTGTAATTTTTAAGCATGTACAGATCCTAAGACCAAAAAGCTAAGGAAACGTGTCCTTGAATTATGTCTTTGATATTCCACCCTCCACCCCCACCCCCGTTTTCTCTTCTCTCTCTCACTGAAGCTTCTATTATCACATTTTAGATCTCCTGGTCTGATACTCTAATTTTTCTTTTTCTTCTTCTCCTATTTTCCCTCTTCTCATTTATTGTTCTGTTTTCTGGGAGATTTCAATGTTATTTTCCATCCCTATTGATTTTTTTTTCATTTTTAATCTGATTTTTAATTTCAAAGTGATTTTTTAAAATAACCTTTTTGGATGTTTCTGTTCTTACTTTATAGGTATAAAATCTTTTCTTATCTCCAAGTATGATGCTGTTGTTATTTTTATTTTGGACTTTTCTTTCCTGTTGTTTTCTGTGGAGCTCCCTTTTCTGATCATTCTGGGGTCTGACATTCATGTTAGAGGCTCTCCCCAAGTATCCAGGGATCTTCATTTGTCCTTTTTTATCTGAAGGTGAGACACCACAATGCTGACCATAAACTCTGTGCAGAAGCACAGCTTGTCATAGGGTGCTGCTCACTCTAAGGCAGCAGTTCTCAAACTTTTGGTGTTAGAGTCTGTTTACATTCTTAAGGGTTCTTTATGTGAATTATATCTATTGATATTTCCTAGATTAGAAATTACAACAATTTTTAAAATCGGCCAATCCATTTAATAATAAATCTAATTATATGTTAAACTAAATACATTTTTGCAAATGATAATTAGATTTCATGAAACCAAAAAAAGTTAGTGATAAGAGTAGCATTTTTTTTTTTTACATCTTTACAAATCTCTAATGTCTACCTTAGCACAGATGGATTCTCATATCTGCTTCTGTATTCAATCTGTTATTTTGGTTGAAGTATATAGAAAAAAACATCCAGCCTCACGCTCATATGTTATTGGAAAATGAAGGAATATTTTAACAGTCTTTCAGATAAGTATGGATATCCTTCTTGGATATTACACTGAAACTCAATTGGTAGTTTCTTTGAGGTTTGTTGGAGTCTAAAACCATACCAGTGTGCTGTATATACCCTGTTACTTTAAAATCCACTGATCTACCTTGTACTTTGAAAGGCTCTTTTCTCAATACATGATTTCAGAACAGTCCCAATTTCAAACACGCTTTCCTAATATTCCTATACAAACAGTCCAAAGAAGCGACATTTCTGGACCAGTGTTTTCCATTCCCGAAGGATGGAATAAGTGCTCTGGATGTAGGCTTTGTGTCCTGGTCTCTCAATATAAAATCCTCTTTCTGGGCACAGAAGAATTTTGAGCAGAATTCATCATGTTACTTCTCACAGCTTAATAGAAATACTCCTGGACAATATTTAACTCCCTGTGTCCTAAATCTTATGCTCATCAAGCTCCCCTTTGAGCTTTAATTTCATCCCCAGAGTGGACTTGTTGGTAAGAGGAAGTGTCTCAGGGGACCCACCCAGACTCTAAGTCAAGCTCACATGTAAATGAATGATTGGCAATCATTACTTAAGAACCACAGAGCTGGGAGATTGCTTAGATACCTACCAGTCCCAGCCCCTAATTTTAAGGTGAGGAAACCATCGCTCATAAAAGGGAGTTGGCTTACCTTGGGACCCACAGCTAATAATTAATGGCCACACAGTTGGGGTTAGTATTAGATCTCTGAACCTCAGTCCTGTACTCTATTATAAACACATCTATCGAAAGATTTGTTTCCTGATCAACTGAAGACAGATGAGGGTTACACTCTGCATCATGGCATCTTCAACATGGTACTGCCTACCATAGGAGGCCTCAGTTGAGTTACCTGGCCAGCTTTCTTTTATAACTCTTTTCTAACACACTAAAACTGGGAACAGTGAGGTGGAAGTAATGGGGTGTTGTTTGTGCTCTTGTCATCAAGACTATCATCCTGATATACAGTTGGCCCACTACCTGGCTTGCACTCCATTCAACAGGGTAGTTATTGAAAGCCTCCTGTGTCAGGCACTCTTATAGGCACTGAGCTTATAAGGTAAAGAACATGGACTAAGGCCCTGTTCTATGGCACTTATGTTCTGATCGGGGTTGGTAAGTGTGACTAATTGAATAAACAACATAATATCAAACAAAAGACAACAAATGTTGGTTGGCAAGGATGTGAGGAGCTGGAACCCCTGTGCACTGTTGGTGGGAAAGCAAAATGGTGCAGCTGCTATGGAAAGTGGGATGGAGGTTCTTCTAAAAATTAAAAATAGAACCACTATACGATCCAGCAATCTCACTTTGCGGTATTTATCCATAAAAAATATATTGAAATCACGATCCTGAAGAGATATGAGCCCTCCCATGTGTCGCTTTGCAGCTGCCCACTCGAATGCTCCTGCGCACTGATCCTTTTAAGAAATGCACCTGTAAGCCCTTCTCCAAG